CACAATGACACGAGACACGCGGCATTTGAGAATCGACAGCGCTTGCGAGATGCCCAGCGCGCTTCGATACTACAAGTAATATATTCGCGTAGCGCGAAGGTGTTGGCGACTTGGATATCGGGATGGTGACTGAAGTGGCGTTCATCACCCGTTCGCCATTCCGTAGTCATATGTCTATATTTGTGCGTACATCTATGCCCATGAGCACGGGCATCAATAATAATAATAATAATAATAATAATAATAATAATAATAATAATAATAATAATAATAATAATAATAATAATAATAATAATATATTTGGGGTTTAACGTCCCGAATCCCCCACATGTTTATAAGGCTTCGGAAATTTCGGCCACCTGGTGTGCTTTAATATACACCTATAAAAGTACACGGGCATCTACCGTTTCGCCCCAGTCAAAAATGCATTCGATCCCGCAACCTTCCGGTCAGCAGTCGAGAATCACAGCCACCAGTCCACCCAAGCGAGTGATGAGTATAGGGAGTAGACATTACAAAACGATGACAGAGATGCCCTCCTTGTGAACTTTCAATACGAGCTAGTGTACTTTATTCACTACGCATTTTTTTTTCTTCTTGTAAGCCAGAACATTCAGGATAACCTTGTTTAAGAAATTCCGAGTAGAAATTTCGGCACCAGCACTTCAGTATGACGTCACTTCAATGAGGATATAGCCTTTAAGTTTCAGTTCTTTGAATCGTCGAATAGATTTTCGCAGCACCAATGTGCCAAGATTGACAGTCTGTGCAATTACCATGCAGAGCTTTTCAATAGAATCTACTGCTACTCGTTCGCTTTCTTTCTTATTTTCAATGACAACAAGGTCAAGCCTGTTTATAGAGGTATACACATCTGGCAGGCTAGTTGAACAACTTCAAGCTCATACAACAAAAAACTACGGCACCTCCGCACAAGTGGTGCCAAGCCTGAAAGCAGAGCGGATCTTGGGGCCTTCTTTGTTTTTATTTACTTTTTCTCTCTCTTTTTTTTTTTGTCTCACTGCCTTTTACAGCGAAAGCTGTTATGAGATCAGAACACGGGTCACGCGTGGCCGTTATTGTCCACCACTGCTGGTGTCCGTAACCAGTATCGAAAGAAAAAAACTCAGTAAATAAAAAACACCACTGACACAATGGGATTTGAACCTGGGCTCTGCTGCGTGCCAACCCAGTATTCTACCGTTGAGCTACGCCAGTTCTTGGAACTCGTTAATGGAATCACTTAATGTGAGTAATAAAAAGTTTTAAAACAGCAAAGGAACAACCAGGCGCCACACAATGCGAATTGAGTACCCCGTGGGTCGTCCAATGCTTCAACCCACTAGAAAACTTGTTCTTGATAACCCATTAACTGTAGCGCACACCCACTTCAGGCATAATTCTTCATCGTCAGCCACTGCATAAAAAAAAAACTGTGCAAAATTCCAAACAAATGTGCACCAGATACCACGCTTTTCTAAAGAATGACAAATGATAGCATAGTGCATGCTGGCCTACTACACAAAAATTATGATTATTTATGGCCCAGTGGGCTCTGAAAGACCGCTATGCTAGATTTCGCTGCGACTGTTCTGCGCGTTCTGTGCAGGCCTGGCATTTTTTCCCCCGCTCTCTCTCTTTCTATCTTTTACACTTTTTTTTCTATATCGATCTTTGTTTCTCTATATTTTTCTCTCTCTATTTCTATGTTTTCCTATATTTTCATGTATTTATTCCCTTCATTCCTCTCTATTTCTCTTTCTCCGACTGCCTTTGTATTCGTTCTCTTTCCCATACGAGTGATAGAATGCCACGCCGGGCATAATGGCCCACTCAGTCCGAGAGCCAAGAAGAGGATGAAGAGAGTGCGTGCCAGCCGAGTTATCGTGTTTATAATGGTGATAGTGTTTACACGACCGGCATAGTTCCTCCTTGAGGAAATAATTGATTTAATTTTTACTCTGTGGTGGGGCTTCTCAAGAGCTGTGGTGCGTACCCAATCAAGCTATTCGTTTCCCTGGAAAAGGAACAGTTTGCTAAAAAAAAATTTGCCATTAAAAGGTCTTAGTGGCCAACAAACAGTGCAGCAGCATCAATGCTGCAAATGTCTGTCTCGGTCTGCCACTACACCGAGAGAAAGTTCAATGGAAGTTCAAGAAAAGACGGGTAAGAGAAACTCTGGCTCCTGCGCTAACATGAATAGTAGCACAGAATTGTTTTTTTTTACTTGTGCAGCTTAACTTGGTATTAAACTTTAGCAACTATTTTTAGGCTGCACTTGCTGTTGTAGAAGATGAGTAGTTGAGTAGATGGAGAAAGTATTAGCTTTGATTACTGTTTTCAATTTCCAAACATGTTACCAAAAGCTGGTAAATGGGATGACAACTTTCAAACGAACAGAAAACACTGTTCTACTGAGATTCCACAACCACTACATCGAATAAAATGGAGAAGTCAACCACGAAATAACTCACTGATTCTCTGCCACTTGGCCACCCAGCTGTCCTCAGGATTCATCAGAGCAATCATGCTGAAAATTAAGGGAAACAACAAAACAAAGCAACCGAAATGTTAAAATCACTTCAGAATCCCCTGTGTGGCCTACACAAATAAAGCATTTTGTTTGAACTCTTAGACATGAACTGTCAACAAAACATCAGTGCTGTAACATGGTTGCTGACGGTGGAGCTGACATTTCCAAAGGCAAGGTGATTTCAGCTGCAGGAACATTCAGAAGTCAGCCTGAATGAATAATCAACTTCCGGAAGAGGAAAGAAGGATCGTAACAGACACTGGGTGGATAGAAGTGTGCAAGTATGTGCATGGTATGCAAAGGACAGCAACATCAATGCAATACCTTAAACATCTTACAAACATGCCATGTTTAATCAGCAGATGTCAGAACTCCATATAAAAACATTCCCGTCCCATTCTCAGCTATTGCGCCGCCAGTTTCAAAATTCAAGAATGATTTTCAGTGGCGGCGTTGAGTCTAATAACTAATGATCCTACATTCACACCTCGAGCAGCGAGTGAGACTGACTCCTGCTAAGCGCACGGCATTCTCAAGAGAATGCGCAGACACTTTTTGCTCGAAATTTCGTCTGTTTCCCCAGCACAGATTTTTCGTTTTGTGCTTTGCAGACATTATCCCTCCTCTCTGATGTACCTTCAATATTTGCACACTTGCAGTACTCAAATATGGCAAGGGTTCTTTCCCCACTAAGCTCGGGAAATGATCGACTCATCATGCACTAAACCAAAGCAATGCTATGAAAACTGCAACGCCAACACTGAACTCAAATTAGTATTCTCAAATTTCTTCATAATCCAACACGCTTCAGTTGCCTATGTTATAAAGGAAAAAAAAAAAAACAACAACAATCGAGAACTGTATAGTTGTTCCTTTCGGTATGATCTTATTTCTACAGTAGACGGTACAAAATCACATAGCATGCTCAGAGAAACATATATCGGCACTGTTTTCAACAATTATTTGTTTGATCTCCAGCTGTTGCTGCTGCATAGATAAAACTGTGCGTTAACATAGTTGTCTTATCATATTCGTGATGCGTGACCGGCTTAGACCACATTCGTGTTACACTGCGGCATCCAGTAAAACGCAAATGACGCGGAACACAAGATCCATATGGCTTAGTAGCATACTTTTCGAGGGGACTACATAAACACAAGGAGTGTATTTCAAAACCCTACAGGAATCGCAGGCGGTTTCGCACTCGTTGTCAAACAGGACACAGGCGCGATTGAAGTAAGAAATGTGGACACTACATACCCGTCAAAGTTTGAGCTCGTGCAGTCGTACACCATGTCCCTGTTGTTCTTCATGTGAAGGTATTCATCACAGTTGTCACATCCGTCGAATTCAAACTGCTCGAAAGTCTGAAAATAAGCAACAAGAGCAAGTCAGATACTGCACAAAGGAAGTCGCGTTGGTTTCGTTTGCGCTGTACATGCATGTTTTCAATCAAGCTATTCACATAGAGTCTCTTCGACTACATTTTATTAAAGCAGCACGACGAAGTCACTCTGCTAACACAGTCAAGCTTCATTAGCAACCGCCGGTGGCGGAGCGATTAGTGGTCAAGAAACAAGATACCGATGCATTAGATCATGCGAGCTTATTCGCGCATTGTTGTTTCACTCATAGTAACTTGTGAAGTGCGTTTACCTTGATCATTGAACACAAAAGACAAGCTCTGAGGTTCCGCAGATCTTTCGGGATGCTTTCCAAGGAGGCCGCCATGTTTGCTTTTGACGTGCCAGCCAACAAGCCAAAAGTCTAAAACAAAGTCAGAAATAACCAATAGCCAACTAGAAGACAACTATAACTGGTGTCGCCATCTAAGGGTAAGCTCAGACACTAAAAAGTTTCTTCACTTGTTCTTTTAATTTGGCCCTAAAGCTGCCGCCGTGAAGGCTGAGGAGGCTCGAATGAGTTTAATGCGTTTAGGTGGGCGTGACGCCGCTACGGACCGTAATGTTCGTTGCTTGTCCCCCCGCAACAGCTTCCCTGTTGACAGCCGGCTGAAGAGCCAGAAGAAATATCCCGCGTTTTACGTCACCGACGCAAGCGAAACAGAAAGTGGCCTGGAGCGGCGGCGTGGTGAGTTTGCCGAGCGGACTCCTCCGCACCTGCGCGGTGCTCGCGCGATTCCCCGGCAAGTTTAGCTCCTGACGGAACTAGTCTTTCGGAAAATACGCTGACGAGACTTGGAGAAGAAAAAACTATGCGACTCCGTTCGCGCATCGTCGAAAGTCAGGCCACACGAGACCGATTTTGCTTCGGTTGATCGAGCTAGCAGCTCGCGCGTGGGTGCGCTCCGGCCGTTGTTTCGTGTGTGCGCCTACGAAAGCGTGCGATATGTCAGTGTCGGATTTTTGCATCACGCTCGACGACACCGTTGACAGGGAGTGCATCGCCAATCTCGGAACGTGCATCCTTAACGCCGCGCTAGCGTTGACGGTATGCGTGGCGACATTTCTCCTCTGTTCGGACCGACCTCGCCGTGCGCGGGATGCGCTATTCGAGGAGCACAACTCGCGATGGATCCTCACGTTCGCTATGATCGCCGTCCACTTGTTCGAACTGGCCGATGGCGCTCTGATCCTGCTGAGGCGCGAGCAGCCCAGGCGAAAACTTTCACCCCATGCTGGCCGCCGGGACGTCCATCGTGGCCGTCGTGTTGGGAATTTATTACTACCATAAAGTTGAAAAGTACGGCAGGCCGAGGAGGCTCTCCGTGCTGCTGATTTTCTGGCCGTGCGTCGTCGCGTTGAAGATGTCAAAGCTAGTGATCCTCTACGGAAAGGACCTTGGCATCGAGCATGCAACTCTGGAAGCCACCTGGTTTGGGTTGGTCTTCTACACTTGCAATGTTCCTTGTCGAGCTGTCGACTTTCTTGCAGAAGGTAAGAGTTCAGATTTTGTTGTTGTTGTTTTTTCTCTGCACAGAGTTGTTCTTACGAACTGACTGATGTGATGTGTATTGCGTTTTTTTTTTCTCTCGCACTTCTTGCTCAGATGCAAAGAAGTAGCACATTCCTCAGTTAATCCTAATTAATTAGGTGCGCAAATTATTCTTCAAATATTTTTCTTTTCATTTGCGATTCCCTCGTTTTCCGACCACCAAAAGGCTTTAAATCACTTGGAATGTGCGGGAACATATGATTAAAACATTTCTGGTAGCTGCATGCAGCCCGTTATGAAACAGAGACCGCACAGAAACATACAAATAGACAAAATACTTAAGCAATGAACGTAATACTGAAGTTGAAGTTCAGCACATATGTCTTTTCCCTATTTGCATGTTTCTGTGTGGTCCTTTTGTGTGTGTGTGTGTGTGTGTGTGTGTGTGTGTGTGTGTGTGTGTGTGTGTGTGTGTGTGTGTGTGTGTGCGCGCGCGCGCGCGCGCGCGCGCTATCATGGTCATCAAATTAGTACATCTTAAGCAAGGCTGTTCAGTCCTTCAAAGATTTAAAAATTTTGTAGTCTATGTTGTAATGAGGTTGAGATGTAATATGCACACCATCAAGCAAGTTAAGGCAGAAATTATCCATGCATAACTTCTTCATCCGAACATCCATAAGATTAGCTTCTTCATTTTTCTTTCTTTGTATTGATTCTTTTCCACTCCTCTGAGTGCTACCTATAGCTCTATGAGTTAATAAAAAGCAGCAGTTCAGGGGAACGAGAAAGTTGGAAATGTGAAAAACATTTTAACATAGGGTGTCGCTGAAGGCGAAGTCGAATCCTCGATGAAGAAAAGTCCATTTGTCGGAATGTGGGCTCCGTTGCAACTCGTGTTAACGAATTATTCATATGATTAAGTTTGTAGAGTATTGTTCCTGCATGGAACAGTACAGCACTTCTTAATTGACGTGGATGTTCCACTTTGACAGTTCTGCTCATCACAGGCAGTACCAGTGCAAATCGGAGCTCCGAGGGGAAGCCAACGGAGACGACCAAGTCACCTACCGATACAGCCGTGCATCGCTGCTCTCCAAGTGCACATTCTTTTGGCTGGTGCCTCTCCTGCGACAAGGCTACCGTCGTACCATTAGAGCTGGCTGACCTTGGCTTCCTGCCAGAAGTAAAGGCGCATCCCCTTATGTCATTTGCTATATTTTCCAGCCCTAGCTCCATTGTTTACGTTCACTGAAGCATGTGTACCTAACTTTGGTCTGGTGTTGTTTGTTCGAGGGAACTCTTTTTAAAAATATGTGTGGCCTGTCGTATTTCAGGTCGTTTCAGGAGCGACAGGAATGCGCTAGTGCGTTCCATTCATTCGTGACGCGGACGTGTGCGTAAACGCATTTTCTGCAGTCCTTCTTCGCAGAGTTGGCACTAATATACTCTGCCTGTGGCTACACCTCATGAACTCATATTTTCATTCGTAGGGTAGACTATAATTTCAAACTTCTGGCTTTTATCATTCTGAGTGTTTCATATTTTCTGGTTAATGTAGCTCTTTTCCTGTTATTATGCAAAAGCTTCAATGAGGGTGCCATAAGTGTTGTTAAAACTAAATTGAAGACACAGACTCTTATATGACAACCAGTTCTGTTTCATCATCAACAAGTCACCTAAATCAGAATCCTCCTATTGGCAGCACCTCACAAGAGGAGTTTCCTCAATAATATAACCAGTAAATTTTACGATGGGTTATGGTGGGCTTACATAGGAAGAAATCATTCAACAAGTTATCTCTTTTTATCGCATATACAGATTAGCACGTAAAAAATTAAAGAACCTTAAGTATACTTTGTTATATTAGGCCTGTACAAATTTGTAGCATATCATTATCTGTGCCAAAGCACGCATATGAGAGTATGGAAGGTGCATTGAAGTTGCATCTTTAATAGAGATATTTAAATACCTCTGTGCCCAAGAGCCTCAGTCATGTCATAATTCGGTTCGTAAGAGTACTGTATGATTATTTAAAACTTTTTGCTAGAACTTCACAAACAAGTCATGTTAGTGCTAGAGGGAAATAAAATAAAGGCGGAACTTCTCACTCTAATTGCAATTGGCTGTTCGGAGTGTTTTCACATGCATTCGCACCTTTCTTTCTTTTTCTTTTCTCATAGGCAGTGCTTTAGGAACATTGCCAAATTTACTTTTGATGGGCTTAAGACAACAGCACTGGATTATTTCTGCTTGATAGGTTATACATCACCCTCATGGAAGCATTTTCACAATTTGCGTTATCTGAAGCAGTCAGTTCATGTGAGAACTTCATGCTGGATTTTATCAGTTTTTCGTTCTAAAAGCCATCTTTCGCTAAAAAATAAGCTCTCTAGTGTTACAGAGCAATATATTAGTACGGCTCAATTAAATTTCCTCTGCTATCTCTTTATTACAAAAATATTGTGTGTAGCACCTTCATCCGATGCAGTATCCAGCTGTTAAACACCTCATAATCCCACTAACCTACTGAAAAACCTGGCAAGTCTTTAAATATGTGCTGTGGCTATTTTTTTTTATTTATAAATGGTAGCTCATTTGGAAGTTTATCAGACTATTTTTTACAAATACTGTTCTTTTTCTTCCAGAAACATACGAATGAAAACCAGTTTCAGCGATTTAATTATGTTTATTCAAAAGAGAAGGTAATTTCTTTTCTTTCGTATCACCTATCACTGTGCTTGCTGTAATTCTTGGTTTAGTCTACAGGCTGTATTTGTTTGAAGTTTGGAATTTCATGCAGTCACTCACGATATGTCATTTTGTAAGATCACAACCATGCTTAAAAATAACATGGCATATATATATATATATATATATATATATATATATATATATATATATATATATATATATATATATATATATATATATATATATATATATATATATATATTATGAAACTATAAAATCACTTTGTGGAGTATAGATATCTGTTTTTTTTTGTAGCTTAGAACTTGAGCAAATATTTAATTATTTAAAAATTATTGATAATGATTTTTTAGCACTTATCAAACAATTTTTTTGTTGGGTGCAAAAGAGGTACTTATTCCGCAAAAAAAAAAAATATTCAGAGCCTACTTTTTCATGACCTGTCTTTGTTGAGAACCGGTAACGGAACGCAAGGGTAACTAGTAAAGATACGGTGATTTTGCATGTCAAAGTTGTATTCAACATGACATCTTCATCAATATCCTTGAAACTATTTTTGTCTCTTTCCTTTCTGTTTCGTTCCTCCTTTCTTGTTTTTGTTTCTTTCTCGTGCTTTTCTATAAGTGGATTAACTGAATGTTTTACGGTTTATCACTCTGACCCCACCATTGCCAAACTGACTCTGCTATCTTATCAGGTCAAGGCAGAGGCAAAAGGCACGATGGTGTCACTGTGGTGTTGCTACTTGAAGACATATTGGAGGACTGCATTAGCAGGTGGTCTCATAAAAGTGATAGGGGATGTCATTGGCTTGGTAGGTCCCCTGTCCATCAGCCTCATACTGGAGTATGTGGACGATGTTACCACAAACAAAAGCTCCAATTCGGTAAGCAATTTGCACTGCTACTTTGATGTGCCTGTACTTTTTCCAGAAGGCTTTTCTAGATCGTACATTAACTGTAAAGGGCTTACAGCAAGTATGATTACCCTGCTCTTTAGCAACTTATTCACCCAGATGAGATCACATCTATAAAGAGTAGATTCCCTGATGTATCCATAAATATGGCAAGTGTATGTTTGAGTTGCTTGAATCTGGGTAGAGAACTTGAGTGACAAAACGGAATCGCCAATTGTGTCACATATATAGCAATGCTTAAAAATTATTTTTCTTTAGCTTCATTCCAATATGATGCCTCTGTAATTGTGTATTTTTATAATACACTAGCATCTTCTCATAGAAGCAATTAGTGTTTTCAATTCACTGCCAAGTAGAAATTTACCCTAACAGGTAGTTGGTTGATTTGTGGGGTTTAACGTCCCAAAACCACCATATGATTAGCCTAATAGGTAGTGACCCAACCGTTAGTCACCACCGCTACAGGTGTACAGGAGCTGTTGGATAGCTTCACTGAAAGCCACTCGATGTGCGATTGACGGTGACTGTGAAAATGTGACTTACAGTATGAGCTTCCACATTCAAGTACTCCATGAATCTAGTGTAGGGCATCTGACACAACCCCGTCATAATATGTTATGCAATGTAGCATTTCTTTATCGATTAGTTTATCTACATAGTACCGACATTTGCCATTTCTTTTACGCTAGAGCCTAATGTATATTAAGAATGTGTATGAAGTAAGTGAATAAATATTATTACTTTGACCGTTATTCTTGTAGTCTCTTGTAATCAATATGAGTGCCTTCACAGACAAAACACGAATGTGTTTTTTTCTACTGCTTGTTATTGCAAAGTCTTTGCAAGATAATTCAGAGTCGCAACTCGTCTTACGTAAAGTTTTGCTTTGTTGCAGAGTGCGGACTTGTATCCAACTGCAGGTGAAGTCCTGAGCAATGGCTACATCTTATCTTTCATTATCCTCATCGCTACCTTCATGCAGAGCACATTTTCAAACAACTTCAACCACATGGCCATCATGGAAAGTGTTCACGTGCGGTCTGCACTCCAGGTAAGTTGAACGGGCCTGTAATAACAGCTGTCACAATCATGATGCTTTGTGTATATCAGGGTACGGATACCTCTGCATGTACACAGTCACATACAGTGCTTACAGACTGAAACCCAACAATTTCGAGTTAAATAATATGCATACTTTCATGTCATGTCAGACTGGCACAACTTTGACTCGAAAACTTGTGCCAGAGCCAACGTTATTTTAGGGGCCAAATTGCTAGCTACTTCATGCGGCTATCTGTAGAACTTGTGCCACCAGTTATTGTACTACACTCAAACCTCGATATAGCTAACACTGACATAGTAGCAAATTTTAAAAATTTTCATTTACAAATACTGCAGGCCCAATTCGGGCCCAAGTAGGAGTGGGTACATAGAGGTCAGTGGCAATATCGGAAATGTCTTATAAAAAAAACATATATACACATATATATATACAAATATATTGGTTATAACAGTTATATATTGGAATTATTGGTTATAATGAAGTAAATAAAAAATAGTCTTGCAACATATAGTGTTAGGAATATATCTTTATAACAAATTTTTAGATGTAACGAACTTATTTTTGTGTAACATGCAACGTTGTTGTAATGAGGTTTGAGTTTATAAAAATTCTTTTGATGTCACATTTTAATCCGTGAGCACTGTACATATGCATTCACAGTCACACTCTTCTACATTGCAACCAGTTGTTACTAAATAATTTTCTTACATGCTTCCAATGGCACCGAAATTCTGTTTGGGTTCTATTTCGCATAGTATAGTCTGCTGTTGTTCTGCTTTCTGTGCTCTCAATTGAGTTACAAAATCATGACTTTATAAGCTTTTCCTGGTACATTTAATGTCAATGTTGCTTTCCTTTCTAAACAAGCTGTCATTTTAGCTGTACTTGACTGACTTGCAGGTGACTTAAACTAGTTTCTAAGTTTGTTCCCAGCCAGGCAACATATTGCAATGTTCGGTTCAGTTAATTTAGTACTACACTGCCCATGAACAGTTATAAGCCTTACTGATTGTGTGCTTTTAATTTACAAAGGAAAAAAATTAAGCACAAAATGTGGACAAACAATAATACAAGATGATAATATACAATAATATATTAAGAACATTTTTTGAAGTGATATAGCACAGATTTTTTTTCGAAATGGGACAAGATGAAGAGGAGACACACAGTGCCTGTGTGTGACCTCTTCATCTTGTCTCGTTAAAAAAAAGAAATCTGCGCTAGATCACTTCAAATATCTCGTACCAACAAGGGCAAAAGTCAGCCCTTGATATTAAGAACAAAAAGTATAAGTTAGTCATAAAGTAGGCATGTGAGTCAAAAGTGTCAACTTTATTATGGAAGCCATTTGATCGCCCAAAGATAAATTGCAATCTTAGTAGCGTAATAATTAAGCAAAAATTAGTAGCTGCTTTGCTCAAGAGGTGTGCATTTTATAGGATCGTCGGAAAGCGGTATTCGCTCTTACGCATTTAAGCAGAAGCAAGAAGCTCATTCCAGCACATAGAATCTTCTTTTCTTTTTTTTAATCTCTGGATGGTTGCCACAGGTTATCGTAAATGTGGTATCTACGTGGTCAGCTTTATCACGCAGTAATTCCTGTTTTCACTACTCTGTGCAAGAAACTCATCTCGAGAGGTCAGTGCAGATCTGTTAGAGATCTGTAGGGAACACTTGCCATTTCTTTCATTGCTCTTGGTTGCATCGCCTTAACTCACTTCCGTGCATCCTGCGGTATTTTCTGTTCTTCTTGTTATCTTAGGATAGGTGTGACGTGTGCGACTCATGAGTGCTTTATGATACTTGTGAAGGAGTGATTGCGTTTAAGGGGATTGGTTGAAATTTCGCGTTCGTTGCATCAGAAGAATTCGTTGTTCCTGTTGGCTGTCTCTAAACAAGGACTATATGTGATGCATGTGTGTAGCACCTGCACTGGCATGCTAATTTTCACTATGAATTTTTATTTTTTTGAATTATAAAATTAAAAATGAAAAATACTTCAGAAGCATATGATTGTTTAGCGTGAAATGGTTTATCAATACATGAAAAATTACAGAAGTATAGTCTATACTAAATAATGGTTTTAACATTTCTATGTGTGTATACAGGTACTTTATGTGTATTTTATATGTTTGTTCATGTAACATATTGTAGTTTTATTTAAACATCAATTGAGGTCCTTGTAATAGCGTTTCAGGTTAACAGAAATGTATTTACTTAGTTTTATTGAACAAGAAGACTGTTTCAGGAAGTGCAACTTACTCCAGACAGCCGCTTTTTGCCATGTGCTTTTTTTACTTGTGGCTGTAAAAAGTTACCGGACTCAAAGCCTCTTGTTTGATATGGGGAAGGCACAAATGATAAAAAGTGAAATGGACTATTTTCAATTATACAGTTATACAACATAATTGCAGGTCGATAGTTCGTGAGCGAGCTAAAGGGCACGCTTTAAAGTTTGTTCATGAGTGGCTTGGTACGAGCTGCATAACTTGAACACGACAAAAAATGAACTGCTCGCTTCTGCAACACTATTAGGGCTTTAAGTAAGCATCATTTATGCGGGCTCATAATTCTATATAGTACGATAACCGCTTATAAGAAAGAGTTAAATAAATGGCCTTCAAAGTTGGTGCGTTGTAAAACTGGTGGCATGTAAACATCACAAGGCAAACATTGCTGAGCTTTTTACATAGCAATATGTATTTTCCAGTTTAAATCGTGACTCTCCATTCAGCTCTGATTTTTTAAGGGAGTGATGAGTGCAACTAGGAACAGTTAATTTGTTCAGACATCACATTCTTGTCTTTTGGAATCTCAAGATCAAAAGTGAGACTTCTGCAAATTAAATTTCGCATGGCAGCTTCTAAAGCTCATTCATGCAGTCTTACAAGTATTGGCACAGCACAAAAAACCTGCTGGAAAATGTTGTAAAAATGTAACGAGAAAGTAAGAAGTATATTAATATAATATCTAAGGATGCAGACATGTATACCTGTTCTTTTGTTAGTTTCAGTCTACAAATCTTTCCTTTAACATATGTTACAGGCTGGCCTAGTTATTTTATGTTTGAGTTTGTTTTGAAGGTAACATTACTCTATTTCTCTTGCATGCTTTAAGCAAGTGTAACTGAAGAAAGGCCTCTCTGAAAGTTATATTTATTGAGTCATAAACAATGCTGTTTGCAGACTCGCTGCTGCAGTTCCTGTTTGGCGAATAGATGACAGCTTTTACCTTAAATATGTTTGTTCCGCATGTTGCTTATGGTTTGTCGTGAGTGAAAAATACAACAATCCTGGAAGAGATCTCACAGAAAAGTTTCTTTCTTGCTTTCTTTCTTTCTTTTTTTAAATATTTATATCGGCCAACTTAGCCTGGGAAGATTTGTTGAAAAATTTTATCACCTGCAAAGGCAGTGCATGCGTGTTCCCCTTTGGTGTTGATTTCACTCTTTTCATGAAGAACTTGTTGGTTACGCTATTTATAAGAGCGAAAAAATCTGAAATGCCAATTTAGAATAAATATCTGTGGTGTTTGTGGTGTGAAGGTAGCATGTTGTCAAATGATGCCGACAACGTGGTACCTCGCGCGAGACCCTGTGGAAATAGCATTTCTGGGAACCTTTGTGTTGTTTATTTGGAAACATGGGGAGTGCCGTAAATCATGGAAGAATGAATGAATTGACACCAAACGCTCACTCTGCATGAATGTCGCAATTATTTCAGAGTCTGGTATACCTTAAGTCTTTGTCCCTTGCCAGTGACATTGACGTGGGCATGGCTGTGAATCACATGTCAGTTGACTCCTTCAATGTGATGCTGCTGTTCTCCATGGGCCACTACATCTGGGCTGTTCCTGTCAAGGTGAGATTATGATATCACATCTGATCAGGGAAAGGTGAGTTATGGAGTCTCTTGGAAGTGTTTGCCAGGCTGACATGATTATTATGTGTCAGCATTACAAGTCAGGTTATAAGAAAAAGTACGACGAATTGTGCTTGAGTTGTTCATCTGTAACAGTGCCTTCAAATGTCAAAAAACAAGAAAGGACGTAAACATAAGGATACAGCTACTGTTCAACGAGCTACAAAATAAATTTTACAAATGAGAAACTCGCTCAAAAACTTTCGTTCCACAAAAATCAAACTAAGGACCTCTTGCACGGAGGCCCAGTGATGGAACCATTATTCTGTGGTTGTAGGCTCTGACGAAAATTAATGCAACAGTATTGAAAATTTTCGACAAGCGAGGTAGTGAATTGAAATGCTTGACAGCATTTCATTTCGTCACCGTCATATGAGCTCTGTGAACTTTACGCCATGTTCGCATGTTGTGTAGCTACTATCCACGCAATGCTTCACCAGTTGATATGGAAGCTGATAGATGACGAGTTATTAGAACTTGGTTTAGTCTTTAGGCATTTCAAGTTACTTTACCAAAAAACTCTTAATTAGTTTTGTCTGTTGTATTGCAGCTGACCATCCTTCTGGTGCTTTTGTACAAGCAGTTGGGATACAGTGCCCTCGTGGGCGCAGCGACTATCTACGTACTTGCCCCACTGCAGTATTGGATCTGCACCAAGCTGTCCGAGCTGCAAAAAGAGTCTTTGGTACGGTGAGCTCTGTATCTTGATCATTCCTACTTAGGAAGGTCTTTGGTGCCCCATTGGTCTTTTGTTCGTGCTGTCCTTGTTTATGTAAGATCTGTTCAATCTTCACACGGGGTTTCTTCTAAAGTCTAAAAATGCATCTTCAATGCATCCTCAAAATCTACAGTGTTTGTTTTTCGACATATACCACATTCGAGCTACATATTTCGGCAGCAGTGGCCTCACTTCTAGCTGAAGGCTGAACCAGCTTTCAAGCTAAGGCAGAGTGGTATCACTTCTTTGCAGTTTACAAGCACTTTGTTTATCTTAACAAACAAAAAAAAAGAGCTCAAAATACCTGTTTTTTGCTTAAAAGCTGACCACATCAAGCAAGCTCGAAACATCAAAGGCAGACCAACCAGAAAAATTGGGGGACCCTTAAGCTTCGCCTTTAAGAGACTGAACGCGACAGTGATATCCTGTCTCTAGTGTGCACTTCAAACACTTAGTGCATACTTTTTATTGTTTGTTTGTTGTTTGTCCCTTTTATCCTGACGCAACCCACCATGGGGGATCGGCCATGAAACAAACGGTGTCTTGCTATTTAAAAGAAAATGTTCATAATTTCGAAATGTTAAGTTTTTAATGAATATGCTTGATTTTGATAATTTTTTTTTACGGTGAACTTCACGTTCTATTCTTCTCGTCTCCCGAAGGAAATCGCAAACGGCTTTCGCAAACGCTCCTGTGGCTAAAACCCAGCACGGTAACCCCAAAGAAAGAAGAACCGGAAGGGATAAATTTAATCTCACCCTTCGAAGCGGTTCGTCTAGAAGTCTTTTCCTCTGATTGGTGAATAATCTGCATGTTAGAAAGAAATGATCAAGAGATTCACACTCAGTTGCAATGGAGGCATAAAGGTGACTGTACGAGACCAGACCTGTGTAGGTAAAAATTCAGTGGGGGGACTCGGCATTGTATTTTGGTAACTGCGATCTCGGTCCTTCTGGAGGAACACCATCGATTCTTGTGATTGTGTGATGTTAGGTACTCGAGAAGTTTAAATTGTGGATTACTACTACATTGTAATCATGAAAGTTGAAAGCGGCTTGTGTCAGTGAAACTTTCGCATATGGCTGTATTCTTTGTAATACGCTGCATGCTTTAAACCACAAGAAGTTATTCGCGTGAAATTTTTTCAAACTTGCTATGCGCTTACTACGTGGCTTAAATTAAGGGAATAGGCGTGGTAACGTGTGTGCCTTTTGTAGTGGGTGGCCACCTTTAAATCATGAAGTTATTAATCACATATCTTGACCCCCTATCACAATGTACACTCTTACCATGCATTATTACGGCGATATTACATGTTGTATTGTAAAGCATGTATATGGGACGCATGTGTTTGTAAAGCATGATAGTTACATTCACTGCGCTTCCAAGCAGAGCAAGTTGTTTTCACTATATCCTGTGTGCTGCGTGGTTGGACATCTGCTTGTCATGCAAACGACCCGGGTTCGATCCTCAGTCAGGCTCAGAGTTTTTATTATTTATTTTATTGGCATCTTTCTCGATTTTTCGGTCATATACAAGATGATTTTTCGCTCACAGCCAACGATGCCGAAGCCGGAAATTTTGCGAAACGAGCTTTTTAATGCTGTTGCGCTTAAAACCAAGTTTGTCTTTTTCCTCTTTTTTTTTCAGTTGTAAAGTCTTGGGTCAGTGCATTTGTCATACGTCGGCTGTCTTATCAATTTTTTTTTTTCAAACAATCGTATGCTTTGAAAAATATGCATGAATAAGCATAGAGAAAGCCTGCTGTGTTTGCAGAAGCTGTAGCCGATTACAATACAAGCGCTCACTGAGCAGCCAAGAGACCGGAAATCCTCCGAGTAATCAGGGCGTTTCAAGGGGCTGCCTTATCTTCAACACTTTGACGTCGACCTGGGTTAAGTGCTCGAGTTCATGAATGCTGCTGCATGTCTCTTCGTGTGCTCTGATAGCTAGAGTGGTCTAAAAAGGTGCTGAAGGTTGCTGTGATAGCTGCGACCCACTTTATATTAAATGCTACCTTTAGGTTGTCTTGAGCTCTTTTTGCTTGTGCCTCCTCCTTGCCTTTATAGCCTCTTTATTTTAGCGGACACTTGCAGCCTCTTGAATAGAGAGCTGTTTGGACAAACATTTCAGCACATTTAATGGATATTAAAACAAACTATTATCAAAAGAAAGAAAGATTGAATTACTATATAAAGAGTGGCCAATAGTTTCTTCACTGGAAAGCAATGTCAATTTATGCGATACCAGGGAAGTGGTACAAACTTCAGCCGGCTTTCATGTAATATGGAATCCACATGTATGATTAGCACATGCGTGAACATACATGCGTGCTATGTTACATCTGTACAATGCGCTCTAAAATGTTTTTTCATGGATAAAACACACTGCTAAACAGTGCTTGTGTATCTGCTAAATGGCAATGGTCCCCGAATTGTTTGGCACAGGAACGTGCCTTTGTTTATGTCTGAATGCATACCAAAGCTCGCCTGCTGAGTGCTATTTTCCTACAATATTTAGTATCTTTGTCAATTTGGCATTATGTAAGCTTGTGCGAATAGTAAATTTTAGGTTGGTGGCGATGTCGAAGCGAATAGTGACTTTGTTGAACAGTTTCTAATAGAATTAGCATAGTGTATATAACATATTATTAAGAAAATGAGCATGTTTGTCATGACTTAACTAACCCACGTAATATATATTCAAACAAGACATGTGAACATGTAATTCCTTTTCGTTCAAAGGAATAGGAAGCAACTTGGAATACTAGCAAGATTTACATTTCGGTAGAATGCTAATGGTAACCTGTAAAATATGTTACATTTAAAATCTTGGATACTTAGAGCATATCAGTCGTTATAGCAAGCTTTTAAACTTGAAGAATGATTAATCGATGTGAGGGCAATGCTACTTGAAATGGGGCTCTGTGGCAGTGCGGGTTTTTCCTGGTAAGGTGTATTCACAGTATAGCACCTCTTTGCTGCAGTGAAAACCACTTTTAGAGGGGTTGCATGCAGATTAATATATTAGTAACAATTCGTTCACTTTGAATACTTCGAAATTTTCTATAATTTAAACTCAAAACAAATTCCAAATAGCTTAACAACAATTTGAACATTCTAACATGTCTAGTATAATCATGTATCTGGCAATGTTAGATTATAAATAAATGGCCCTTGTTACATGTAAGACTATTAACTAATCAAAATGTTTTCTTTTTATATGACAACTGAAGTTTATTGTCCAAAAAGCAATACTAAGGGTGTGAGAGACATTGCAGCGAAACACTTTATAATTAAGTTTCATCAATTTTTCTTTCATATCGGCAGAAGTGGTTTAGAAAACAGCCAGAGCTGAAAGGGAGCTTCTAATACTTTATTTTGTCAGTCGGCTTATTTTCTGCATATGAACTGTGTTGGATGCTATTCCAGCTTCCTTGTAGACTAAGACATAGGAGAGGGTTTTTAATCATGCCCGCACTGCAAAAAGAAAAATCGAATTGTAATTTTGCAGAGATTACAGCCGATGTAGCCTGTTTTATTATGTCATTGCTCAAGTTTCTTGGTTGTATGTGCATTATTAGTCGATAGACTTTTTCATAGCACAGTGTGCATTTGGTGAAAATGGAACAGTTTGGACATTTTCTTTATTTGTGCAGTTTTTGTTGGTGGTATGGTGCTGTTCCTTGCAGCTGTCTTGATATCTGTGTGCTTGTGCTGATATAGATCTGCATCATCATCTGACACAGTAAAATACCTCCTTTTATTTCTCTTTCTTTCCTTCTTTCTTTCTTTCTTTCTTTCTTTCTTTCTTTCTGGTTTATTTTTTCAGTCAATATCTGACAAGAGAATAAAACACACAAGCGAATTACTTCAAGGAATTAAGCTGCTGAAACTCCACGGCTGGGAGAGGGTGTACGCCAACATGGTCAAGCAAATACGAAGAGAGGAGCTTGCCGTTCTGAGGAAGGATGCCATATTCGTTGCCCTTAATAGTGTGTAAACACATTTAAACACATTTTTATAATATTTTGTTTGCTTCACAATGATGCAAAGCGGAACCGAGTGTGATTCGTCTTTGAACTTGTGTTTGTTCACTAGTGTGATAGTGCTAATTGCACGAAGGTCACATGAACTACCGATATTACTCTTACTTTTTTACATTTAGGTGGTCTCACCTAAGTACCCAAGTAGCAAGTGTTATCCAAGTCCTTGTGTATTCCTGTAGTTTATTACTGATGTGCAAATCACTTCATCTAATTGTTGTTTTCTTTGCTTCCTTTCCCATTTTTTCAGCTTTTATCACACAGGGCTCTGCCATCTTGCTCACCCTTGTGGTAAGTACCCTGTGTATAAAATCGTGAAGCAGTTTCTTCTATTGAATAATCTTTTTGATTCTTGTTTGCTTTTTCGAATTTAGAAATGTTGAAACTGTGCCGCCATTCTCAAAACTGCTGCATCCTGTTTTCATGGTGAATTTTTGAAGATGTAGTGAGCATTATTTTATGCCACTGATCAAATTGTTCTAATTACCAGCTATCTTTTGCATGCAAACTTAAATATACTAGCATCTTGCCTCATATTTACAAAAAGCAAACTCAGTCAGGCAATCAGAGAATAGTAAAAGAATATTGTGCGTCGGATGTGAAAAAAAAAAAAAAACATGGGAAATTTGAGAAGCAGTATAGTACACCGTTGAAAGAAATGTATTTATTACATTAGCACCAGTTACAGATATTGGACAGTGACAGATGCAGACTGATTTTCTATTGTTGCATGTCCAGCTAATGCTCCTTGCCAATCACCGTTCGAACATTTCAAGGACTCTAGAACGCTTTGTTGTGTACCGGTGTGGTTTCGTTCAAGAGTGGATCTTATTGCATGGCAGGAACTGCCCATGAAAGCAACAGCACGCCAGTATCCTAACCAACACAACTGCAACACTTCATCAGAGATTAAATGCCTGGTGTGATGCATTAGGTACACATGTAATAGTATAGAAGTTATCGCTGGGGCCTTGCTGTCAATAGTAAGCTGTTGCCTTTTTCAAAAACGTTATGTGGTGTCGTGACTACTGCCAGAACAAAAGATGATGCAGGTGACAGTTGAACAAAAAGAAGCTGTTTTGGAATTGTATTTTACAAGAATGCAGTGCCACTGGCTTGTAAGACTTGCTTACATTTACTTTTCAGACATTCTCTCTCTACTCTGTAATTGAAGGCAGGCCACTCACGCCCGCACAAGTATTCTCTGGGCTTGCCCTGTTCAATCAGCTCACCGTTCCACTGTACATCATTCCTGTTGTCATCCCGATTGTCATCAATGCTATTGTGAGTAGTTTTTTTTTTCACAATGTTGATGTTGTTAGGTTGTAGTTAAAGAAGTTAGCTCTGTGATAAACCTTGACGTTGACATGAATGCGCTGGAAGTGAGGAATGAAGCAAGAAAGCTGGAAGTGAGGAATGAAGCAAGAAAGAGTTAGATTTATAAGCATTTAAATTTCAAAGTTGATGTTTGTTACTGTTGCTTGTACAAGCAGCCACTGGAAAATGAAAAATCTTGTTGTCAAGCCACCATCATCTAAATAAGATGTTTTCTTTGTTATTATTACATTTACATTTAAGAACTTAGGCTCAAGAGTTGCAGAATTTTCTAAAATATCACAATTTTCATCAGGTAAGAATATATTATTATTAATTCAGAGTTTCAATACGTGGTGGTTTCTGGAACCTACAGAACAATACTTGGAAGTAGAAGTGCTGTATCTTACACTGAGAAGAGATGTGAGTGTTGAACCCATGTCTTGTAGACCTTTTTGCCGGGCCATACAAGTGATGACAGGATACATTTTAATGGGACAAAATCGCTCTTAGTGAACAGGTTTGGTCAGTAAGATGCACTTAGGCAAACATTCTGCTCATGGAATTGAATGCACCAGGTATTCATTCACTTGTTTATTCTGGTGTTGAGGTGTGATGCGCTCTGAAAGCCAAGTGCTTCCAAATGCATGAGGCTTTTACGAAAGATTGGCAAACATCATTTCAGGTGAGCACAAAAAGATTGTCAGAATTCCTTAGCCAGCCTGAAGTTGGCACTGAGGCCCCATGGAGGAAGAAAGATGATACCCCTAAGGCTGTTGTCGAGTTCCACCCTGAGAGCGGCAGTGTGCTGGTAAGGTCACATTTGAGCTTAAAGCATTACTCCACATCACATTTATCATATTTCTCTGATACTTGTGATTTGCTACACACTTTCATGTTGTTGGGTTTTCAAGATGCATTCCCAAAGAGCCTAGCCGCTCGCCGTCAAGCAGTGGCTAACAATTCTAGGATTATACATTAAAACAAATAGTACTTGATATAGTGGATAGGAAGTGATGACCCCACTGTGGCCTAATTGTCTGGAGCACTGCGCGCATTGCCCGAAAGTTGTAGGGTTGGTCCCTGCCTGCGGCAAGTTAGATTGTCTTCCACTTTAATCCTTTCTATTTATATCATAATGTGTTACTGCACATACAAATAACACCCCTATACCTTCCATAGCTTTGTTATCTATTGGTTTCAATTATGTTGGGTCTAACAAAAGAAACTAGTCTGATCAATCCCCCTCTTTCATCTAAGATCTGTCAAAGCAATCCGTGAGCATTTCGCCAGTGAAACGTTCTGCAGTGCTTCTAGCCCGTATTCGCGGAACTCACAACTGCAAATTCTTGCAGTACACTTTGTGGTGTTACTTTTTTCCTCATATTTTTTAACCACATTGCTTGAAGCTGTATTGTATAGAATGCTGCTAACCACTCACAGCACTTGTTGTTTTATCTAAACTTCATGCCTTTCAGCTCAACATCAGAGACAGTGAACTGCTAGACAAGTTCCTAGCATCCACGGGTGATGACTCTGATGTATTCTTGTCGGATGCCTACTCTCCCATCGACAGCCCTGCTGTGATTAACATGAACCACGCTTACTTCACGTACGACAATAACACCAAAATTCCAATCCTTCAGGATGTGAATATTACAGTGCCCACCGGTAAGCAAGCGTCTGAACTGGTAACTTCTGTCTCGATTAATTTCATCAATGTAATTGAAGTGTCTGTGAATGTAACAACTGCTCCCCTCTTTCCAGGAAAGCTCACCATAATAATAGGACCAGTGGGAAGTGGAAAGACAACTCTTCTAGCTGGAATGTTGGGTGAACTGACGCCATACAAAGGAAGTGTTCACTGGGCAAAGTAAGGTTCTTTTGCATCCCTATAAACCTGAGCGTTAAATGACCGAGGTTCTTTAGCCACATAACTGTGATTTTCTTTAAATACCCATAATCTTGCATGAGCTTATATTTCCTACTTTATTGAACTTCAAAGTTCAACAAAATTTCATTACCCTTCATTCTTACAAGCAATGTAGGACTGACTAAAGTGGCGTAAAGAACTTTATGTTTGTTTTTTTATTATTATAGCAACTATGTGCACATTCTGAACTGGCTTTTGACACCTGCTATGCCATCTTGTTTCCATATTAAGTTCAAATTGATAACACCCTCCTGTGCATCGTACGTTCTACTCGGAGGTAAAGGCGCGCTAGCTGGGGCGAAGAACACAGCTGAAGCAGAGATCAAATGTGCCGGCCTATCTCTGTTGCTCGGAGAGCACATGCAATAACATCCCCCACATGCTGGAGCTGCCGAAGTATGTTGCGGAAACAGACAAGATTACCCCGCCCTTCATTTTGAGGAGCAATTGTGAATTTTGTTTTTAAGGGCTTGGTCACAGCAGACAGCTCGTATACCCTTCCATATGGTGCGCTTTGGATGTGAAGAGACTGTACAAAAAGAGCATCTCTCCCTGGAGTAGGCCTTATTTTCTTACACCAGCATCTAGAAGAGTGAGGGGAGATCAAAACCAAAAGAGTATGCTATCGCATTCATAGCTTTGCTGTTGCGGTGAAACTGACATTTCTTTCTTTTCGTTATTATGAATGCTCTTTTTTTTTGTCTTATTTTTGCTATAGCAGCTAGGCTTATGTGACACATCTGCGGGAATCACAATACATTTCACAACCTGCATGGCCTCATCAGCACTAGCCCAAGCAGAAGCCCATCTTATAATTAAGATAAATGACACATCAGGATGTCATGTCAGCTATCTTGGCCATTTGACGCAAGCTTTTGAAATTTGAAGGCCAGACACTGGTCATGATGAATGAGTTCAGGGTAAACTTAAGTTTTTTCAGGACAGCCTATGTGCAGTTCCAAACTTCATGTTACATTCTGGGACTGCTTTGGGACACGTACCCTCTCCCTCTCTCTCAATTTTAGTCAATTCTCTGAAATTTTTCTATTTGAGAAAAGAGCGTAGTGGGCATAGAAGACATGAAGGTACCGAACTATACCAAATAGGACTTGCCACTGTACTTGTCTAAATGAACTATCATTCAATATTGACACTAGAGTTTGATGTGTAGAGCATTTCGTGTATTTTTTACGTGGGATGTTCTTAAATATGAGGATTTAGCCACACTTTCACTTTGCAGCACCACTTGCATTGCTTATGTGCCACAAAAACCATGGCTGTTGAATGCTACTTTGCAAGGAGAACATTCCTCTTTGGACAACAGTATGATGGCCGGAGGTATGTTGCTACTATTTTGCTAATATTGTGAACTAGACACAAGTTCAGGGGAAGATGGAGGTTGAAGCATTGAAAACTTGTTGAGCTCAGAATGTTACTGGAGGCTGCATTTGACTCATCTTTGGCCTCTTGTCAAAACGCTCACTCGTTCACTCCCAATTCAATGATTCTTCATCACTATAGTGTTGATGGTATTCTCTTACCATGTAGTACTAATATGCATAAGCGTGCGCAGGGTTCGTCTTTGGAAAGGGAGGGAAGGTTCGTTGCAGCGTCCCTCTCCTTATGTCAACGTATGGGACTGGCTTTGAGCCCCCCCCCCCCTCCTCCTGCCCCCTTGCACACAGCTATGCTAATACGTATGTACATACCTTATTTCATGTTGTCATGCCTGCTTTATAATCCAAGATACACAGTCTTTTTTGTACTTGGTACAGCTGTTTCCCAAGATCACTGATGTGCCTTCTTATAGCTGGCCATGTCTTGTTATTTCCTCGATAAGTGCGGCATATCTGTAGGACATATGCATCTGTGCAGCTTTGTTCACTTCTAGAGCAAATACTTTGTTAGTATTTAAGCAGCAGTAGCACCTTGAGTTTACAGGGAAGATATAGAAACAGGTCTTTCATCGTTAATGTTAATCGAATAATGTAGGCCACATTATTATTTTTTTTTACATGTACTAAGCACCAACTTGATAATGGGCATTTAATATTAGGTAACAAGTTGAACAAAAGGCATGGACTTTTCTACAGAAAAATTGCTAGAGGCAACTGTGGCGCTAGTTTCGATGGAAAACTTCCAGTGTGGTGGTTCAGTTGTAATATATATGATGGACAGGCAGGACAGCATACGTTTACGCATTTATATAAGCTTTGTTCTTCCAAGTTAAAATGTGCTTTGTGACTTAGCTGATTGATCGCCTTTAGTAAAATACTAATAAGCTATAAATGTAACAATTTGCAATGATTGCACTTGTGCATAGAGAGCTATTGTTTTACTTCATTTAAAAAACTGCAGTTGCTTAAAAATTTTGGATGTGTAAAGTGTAAAACTAAGCTAACTCCATACAAGCATCAGAAGCTTTACGTATGTAAGTTATTCAAATCCATGTACTAATCAACTCTGTGTAATTACTATGTGCTATGTACTAGACCAGTTAAATCTCGGTGATTTGTGCAGTGCCATAGTTCCCTTTAATATTTTTTTTTTGTGTGTGTGTGTGTGCAAAATTGTACAACTAAATAACTTGCAATTGTTGGGTGACATTTGCAATGCCCAAAGCAAAAAAAAACGAAGAAACCTGGACAGGATGGTTGTTGGAACACGTCATGCACATAAGCATGTCACTCAGTTCAAGCGAAAAATCAATCTGTTTCTCCTGGCTCAAAACCATTTACAGATATCATCAGGTGATTCAAGCATGTGCACTGCAGCCAGACATCGACCTGCTACCAGCACGCGACATGACTGAAATCGGCGAGCGTGGTTTCAACCTAAGTGGTGGGCAGCGTCAAAGGATCGCCCTAGCTCGGGCATTCTACTCACCAGCCAAAGCGGTTATCTTGGTGAGGCTTTCAGTGCCTAAGTGGACGCTACCGTAATGTGCGTATTCTTATTTTATGAGCACATTAATGACTTGCAAATTATATTGTGAGTTTATTATGTCAATCTTATACAACGCGTTATAAGGGATGTTGGGGGTGCTGTAGTGGAGGGCTCCAGAATAACTTTAACCACCTAGTTTTTTGTAACGTGTGCCCATAAATACAATACAGGGACATCTTCGCTTTTAACCGGCATTGAAAGGAAGGTAGCATTGCCAGGATTAAAATAGATGACCTTGCGCTCTGTATCACAATACCATAAGTGCTGAGTCACAGTGGCAGGCTTGGTATGTTCCTGTAAAATGTCTAGCAGTTTAGCTTAGTTCATTGGATTGAAGCACAGCTTTTAGGGGCGAAGCTCTTTAAGGCGTGGGTCTGTACATCCTCTGAGGTATGTAGTTGTAGTAGTAGGGTCGCCACCTCTAGTTTAGTTCTTGTGGTGTTCACTAATGGTGGTACTTGTAGTTGATGAAAAGATGTGAGATGAGATAAAACTAGATAACGGTATTTGTATTTGATGATAAAAGATGCGAGATGTTATAATAGGAATGATGTCACATATGACGCGTGTCACTGATGGAAGGCAATCGTTCGGTTTAGTGCGGCAACGTATGCTAGGGGGAGTGTTGTAATAAAATTCGTTCACTGTTGGCGCATGCTCGGAGTTGCCGGGTGGACTAGGCTGCAGAGCGGCGAACGCTCGCTCGCAGACAGAATCCCTATGTGCAAGCCCACGAAACAGAAGCACGCCGGGAAGCTGTGCGATGCTGCTGCCAAGATCCTGCCATACGAGAGCGGGAGGCCCAAGCGGCACGTCATACACACACAGCCTTTCTCACGTCTTCAAATGATGATCGAGTGGGCGAATTGCACGGAAAATTCACGGTTTACCGATAATTTCCTCCCGAGCTTCACCCACTTATCATAATTCACCCCGTGGATATGCTGTGATTTTTTTTTATTTCTAATCAGTGTTGATGTACTTAGTGTGAATGCTTGTTTCTTTCTTCTAGGATGACCCACTGTCAGCACTTGATACTCATGTCGGCATGCACGTGTTTGAACAAGGCATCAGGAGTCTCCTGCTAAGGAGGCACCGGACTGTTGTCCTTGTTACTCACAAGCAGGACCTGCTAATTCATGCATCAAAGGTATTTATGCATCGTTGTCTCTTTTTTAACTGATATTGATGCAGGTAAGTACATTGCGGGTGCATTTTTGCCATTTGAGTTTTACAAAGAGCCTTGTCTGAAACACTTGCAAACTATAGAGATTATATCTCTGTCACTCACTAGTGTCTGTTCACTAGTGTTTGTTCACTAGTATTTGTTCACTGGTGTTTAATTCACTCAGCTGGTGCTATGTTAAATGTGTTGGAGTTAAAACAAGTCCCTTGATGTACACCTTGTTTACAGGTGATCATCTTGGAAGGAGGCAAGATCAGATGCCAAGGCAACCTGGCTGAGATTGAGAAGCTGGAACCAGACTTGGCAACCGTTCTGAGCTGCTCCACCAAGCGGGAGGTCCCATCTAGCCGAGACAACACGACCAAAGAGCGCCACAAGCTGATGCGCATGATCACTAAACAGTCCCTGTACCTGCCCAACTCTGGTTCTACACAGGTAAGCCTGCCCGGCTTTTGATTGCAGGAGAGTTAACAAGCGGGCTAGCTTACATGTACAGTAGACTCTCGTTAAATGGAACCTCAAGGGAGCGGGAAAATGTGTTCCATTTAACAGGAGTTTCGTTTACTGAGAGGTGAAATAGGTTGCAGCATTCGAGTTAATTTCTGGAGCCCTCCACTATGGCATCTCTCATAATCATATGGTGGTTTTGGGACGTTAAACCCCACAAATCAATCAATTCAAGTACGAAACCAATCATATACCAAACGTATACCCAACATGAATGCTTGTTGTACTTGTTGCACTTGTTGCGTCTTGCTTATTTGGGCCAGATAATGAAGCAGCTTTGATGAGTAAAATTTTATTTTACATGCTTTTTTGCAACAAACATAACAGGAAAAAGTCTTTCTGCTCAAGAAGTAATGAAGATAGAAGATAGTGCACATATCTGATCGCACATTCGACTGCATGTGGTTACGAGCCATTTTTCCAGGACACGAAGATTTTAGAAGGTTATCAGAGCTGTACTGCTTAATTAGCTTTCACAGCCTTTTTTTAAAGAAATAATAACCCAATCGGTGTCAGCATGGTTTTGATAGGACTGAATTTTTCGGAATAACAATTCACACAGAGCACTCTTTGATCTGTAGTGTTACCATGTCATTTTTTCCACGCGCTTTCACAATATTCCCCAACACAACAGAGTATATAATTCGTTGGACGTTTTTTACAGTAAACAGTTGTCGATTGCAACTGTCCGATTGTCTGCCTCGTTTTTGTGTCCGTCTTCTGTTGCATTAATTTCACTTTTTTTTTTATTCATAACAGGACCTGCGACAACAGCCACGCCCTGTCACACTAAGTCGACAGCTGTCCCACGACCCTTCGAGCCCGCTTCCCCTCCACGACCTGAGTAACGACGACACCAGTGCAGCGCCGCGCAGTAGCTGCACTCCGAGGCCCACATCGGTCGGCTTCCGTTTCAAGGCCAGCGTCTCGACAGACAGCATGCACTCGGCCTCCACTGGAGTCTCAAACTCTTCTTCGCTCGTCCGTAATCCATGGATGCGTAGCCCTCCGTCTCGCCTCAGCTCACGGGTCTCAAACACGGCAGAAAATTTCATCGAAGAAGAGGAAGAGTACGAGGAGAGTGAAGGAAAGAAAGAGGGGTTACTCGCCAACGGTACTGGCCAGTTAGGGGACGATGGTGCGTATAAATGCACATCTCTACTCTTCTTCTGTACTTATGATAACTAAACAGCGCAAGAAAGCTTGAACATGAGGAAGAGAGAGGCAGACGTGTATTGGAGTGTGTAACATTACTGTAAGGACTTGTGTAGTCTTAGCTAGGTGGTATACAAGTATGCCATTATGTGAATTTTATAGCACTAGTTATCAGCCCTAATGATATACTGAAAGTGCATCTGATTAAAGATGAGAAAAGAGTTTCCATAAAATTTTAAAACATGTATGAGTTTCTCTATTACCTTTTGTAAGTTGGTTCATTTTTTTGTCACACAAAGCACAAAAACTTCAGATGTGGTTTGGAAAGTGAGAAAAAAGCTACATTTATGTAGACTTGCGATAAGTAGACTTGCGATAAGTTTAACCCCTTTATTTAAGAGGCATGCTCCGGGCAGCACTTCTTGTCTTTTATATGAGATGTCTTTTATAAGCAGGGTAGCACGTATGCATTTTCTTATCAGCCCTTATCTTACTGTAGGCACACTGCACCTCTTATACCCATTTGTCTCTTATATCAGTGTCTCATAAAGGGGTTCAACTAATCCAAGTTATGTTAAATTGTACTTTCGGTTAAGTCAAACAAAATTCATATTCTTGATTAGCCCGCTATTCATTCAATGTATTTGAAGGCAGCTTAATTGAAACTCCATCATTCAGTTAATTCGTACTTTTTGAGTGTCCATACCAGAAAATATCTACTAATTTTCCACTACCATTTGAAAGTTTGCGACCTTATATAGTCATACCAGTCGAAAAATGAAAATAAGTGCCTCAACCCTTCAACTCTTCCAGTAAAAAGGCTTTGCTAGTGACTGAATGTTCGAAATGAATCGCGGGCACGGTAGGTTGCGATGCTTCTCTACTTTCCAGCTTTATTTACTGTTTTGATGATTGAATCAGAAACCAATATAATGAACAGGCCTCAAAACACGTTTAAACATGATTGACTGCCTACACTCGTTGAAGCGGTTAAAACCATGTGGCATCTGTTGCAAAAACAATGTGCGCCGCATTGCACAGTCGCATGTCAACATACTGCGCCATAGCTGGAAAAATAAGCAAAAAAGAAACATCTCGGCAGATGTGAAAGTCATGGGCATGGCATTCAGCTATTTCTGACAGCAACAGAAAATTTTTAAAATGAACTCGCCGCACTTACTGGCAGAGAGAGCTTTGTGTTGAAAACACGTATACCAAAGAAACATGTCACAATTCGCAATTTTTAAAAAAATCTGGTCAGTAGAAAGTTACCAATAAACTTGTCGACCTTACGCCTCTGCTTTCTGTTTATATTGTGCAGTTAGGGTCTGAAAATTTTTAATTGGGGTTAAAATCAATGCCTAATGTCAATGTGTGCTGTCACCTTGCTCAGGGTCATATATATACGTGATGTAGTGACAAAAATACGGGCTTGCTAGAGACGACAAAGAAGACGTTTGTTGTGGCAGAGGCTCGTGCTGCTGCAGCTGCTGCTGAAACCGCTGGCTGCTGGCTCGCTGCTGTTCGGCCCATTAAGCGGTTGTATCACCCCGGCGTGGTGTCTAACAGTATTCTTACAGTGAGAACGTCTGGTAATTCAAACTTTTTGCTAATTCAAACAATATCCAGTGATCCCTTCGAGCTTGAGTGAACGAGAGTCGCCTTTATACATATTGTGGGAAGTGCAGTGAGTGTAGGAATTTGTAAGAACACTTCACCAATCTAATTCAATAAACATTTACTTTAATGTCTTTTTCACTGCTGTTGATTCTACTTTTTTTTTCTGTCAGGGATAACGGGGCCTCTTCTTGGTGGGCCCGACTCGCTCGCTCTCGCTGAAGAGGCCCAGTGGAAGGTGATTGAGGACGAGGACAGGGAACAGGGCAAGATACCATGCTCGGTGTACCTCGACTACATGAGGTCGTGCCGGCTACTGCTGGTGGCGTTGGTGTGCGTTCTGTTTGCGGCAAACCAAGGGGCCAGGCTGGGATCAGACTTCTGGCTCACTGGCTGGTCGGAAGCGTCCAGAGACATCAACGTCACCGTCCCAGCCAGCAAGGTTTGTCAGTGGATCGCAACTGACGATGCCTTATACAAATTCCGTGAGCATGTACTGGGGTGCACTGGTGCACCGTGTTGCCCATGCATCATTTCACCTGGTCGCACCAGATGAACAAATTTTCATTTCTAGCTGGAGTATTGAACCGGAAATCTAGCTGGAAAGATTTCAGTTATAGAGGTATAGTTTAGCTCGAAAGTATTTAGCTGGAACTGGCCAAATTTCAGCTGGAAACTGACAACGTTCCTGCTGCATATTCAGCCACTTCGAGCTGAATAACTGGAATGGAAGCACTGCTAGCTGGAAAGATTTATGGTTCAAAAATCTAGCTAGAAATGCAATTTTTGTTTATCTGGAGCCCAGTGCATATAGGCATGATTTGTTGAAGATAGGACAGTAAATAGCTCTACAAAAAAAAATTTATATTATGCATTCAGTTTGCAGCCTTGGCAATCGCATGCTGATGAAGTGTGGAGGAGTGCTTAAGTGCTTGTTGACTAAAATAATATATGTTACCCATGCCAAAAGAGATTTTCAGGTCAACCCATTGTGCATCCTAGGGATGTGAGACCCCATCACTTGTTAGTAATTCGTTCGCTTTAGTGGAATAAAATTTCTCCCAAAAAGCTTCTGATGCATATTTCATCCATTAGTACCTTCTTTGAATTGAAACAGACAGTATCTTTTTTGCAAAGTCTGCTGATTTGACCAAGAACAAAATGTTGTTTCGAATTACCATTATACTTTTTAGAGCTTTCTGCTTTTTAAATTGTGCACATTTCTTGTTATTCACAAATTTCATTTTACATTTCCCAATAAATGAGAGATTACAAAAGTAATGACTTAAGTGTCACAGATTAGAAAGGCATAGTAGTTGAATTGTGCTTTCTGCATTTAGACCACATTCATGAAAAAGGATGTGATTGTACAAGAACAGCAACGAGGGGGATAAAATACAGCGGTAGGTTTAATGCCTTCCAGACACAAATCACGTACCAAAATTATAAAGAAGACATAAAATGCGGGTGAGCAAATATTGGTCATGTGCATTTTATATTTAGCACATGTAACCGCATGCATGTAAAAGTAAATATGCACCCTTTCCAACTCTCTTTGAGGATAAAAAATCCTCATTCGTATGTGTTTTCGTCCTGTTTCTTTGTTTGCATCTTAGAATTATAAACAACGTGCAGTTCAAGCCATGTGTATGAGGTGGTCCATCGTCAAGGAACACCAAATGAGTATATCATGACTGATTACATCTCATTTTTGATGTATAAGTCCTGGCAACATCATTTTAATCCATGAAATGAATATGCATATTTTCTTAGTGGAGTCGGTAAAAGGTAGTTAATTTCAACTTGTAGAGGGCTTTAACATTATTAAGCGGAGTGTAAATTAACAGGTTGGGTGCTTGATTGAACAGACATTGTGCAAGAAGAACCCAAAGAAGCCACGTGTGGACTTGTTATTGCGATTCAGTCACTACTGCATGTTTGTGGCAGGTAATTTTGTAAATTAAGTACATGTAGCTCTAACAGCAAACAGAATTATTTCATCAGTCAGTGATACGCGAAAAACAAGCACTGATATGCGTTCATGTGAGCAGCGAGCCTTAATGTATAAATTTATACTTAATGTGTAAATATATAAATATAAACCGTCTACCACTGCAACAGATGTTGCAGTGGTAGACGGTTTGTCTGATCATAAAATTGTAATTTTTACGTGTCAACTGGGTGGACGATTAGGGCATGATTCCGACAAAAAAACTGTAAAAGACTTCAGTAGGTCTAACGACGAAAGTGTTCTTGATTATTTAGATTTTGAACTCGACAACTTCGCCGATAACGATGTTAACTTACTATGGGACAAGTTTCAAACAATTTGCCATTTCTGCATCGATAACTTTATTCCCGTGAGAACGAAGAAGGTACGCCGCGCAAACCCGTGGATCAATCGCGATATCATTCATTTAGTACGCAAGATCAAAAGGTTGAAAAAACGTAAGGTAAACAATTCGTTATCCAGAACCCTGCGCCAAACACTAGTGGATAAAATTCGTGCGAGTAAGCAATTTTCATATTCCACCACCTTGCCTAATTTTATTAAAACTAATCCTTCAAAATTCTGGCGTCACATAAATGCGAGAGGGCGTGACGACATTAATAGCATAATAATAGGAAATCAAACTATAACCGATAAACAGCTGATTGCGAATGAATTTAAATGTTTCTTTCAATCCGTTTATTCTGATTCAGTGCCTTGTAATGATATTGGAGAGATACGTAATGCAACCGGACTAAACTCTGACTTTATCAGTTATGAAGGAATAGTTGCAATGTTACTTAATCTTAAATTGAAATCCTCTGTAGGCCCTGATAAGATTCCAAACATGTTTCTCTATCGGTATGCCGAATCCATAGCTAAATTTCTAGTTGTTATATTCCGTCTTTCTTTTTCTGAAGGTGTTGTCCCCGCCAAGTGGCGTATTGCACGTACAGTTCCTGTTTTTAAATCTGGCGATCGAGCCATCGTTACTAACTATCGCCCCATTTCGCTTCTCAATTCATGCAGCAAACTCATGGAGCATATTATTTCCAACTATCTGGTCGACTTTTTAAATTCCCGCAATATTTTAACACCCTTCCAGCATGGTTTCCGTAAGGGCCTATCTACTACCACTCAACTCGTTTCTATTGTGCATACCTTTTCTTCAGTTCTCGACAAGTCCGGCCAAGTTGACGCAGTATTCCTAGATCTAAGCAAAGCATTCGACAGGGTTTCACATTCAGGTCTTCTCTATAAACTTAATACACTTAATGTCCCGCATCTTCTAATAAAGTGGATTGCCTCATACCTTGAACATAGAAAACAATTTGTTGATGTCGGTGGTCACGTTTCAGATCTTGGATCAGTTAATTCCGGAGTGCCTCAGGGAAGTGTTCTGGGGCCTTTATTATTTCTGGTATATATAAACGACATAACCTCTTGTGTGCACGAAAGCGTTGCTATTCGTTTATTTGCGGACGACTGTCTTCTGTACAGAGCTGTTGAATCAACTAATGACCAAATTACCCTCAACGACAGCCTAAATTTAATATCTAATTGGTGCGACATTTGGGGAATGAAGCTTAACCAAACTAAAACGGTGTACATGCGCATAACTAATAAAAAATGTCCTCTTATGTTCAATTACTCTGTAAAGGGAGTCGAAATGTTTCAAACCAATAGCTTTAAATATCTCGGCTTAACATTTACAAATAATCTAACCTGGTCAATGCATATCGACAAAATCTGTGCATCAACTCGGCGTAAGCTCGGCCTCTTACGTCACAAACTAAAAAAATCCCCCTCCCATGTTAAACTTCTTGCATATAACACGCTAATCAGGCCTCGTCTTGAATACGCGTGTATTGTTTGGGACCCGTTCACTAAAAAAGACATTAACAAACTTGAACAAATTCAGAGGCTGGCTGTACGGTTCATATATAATCGTTACCGCCGACATGACTCGCCTACCTCTTTAATGCAAACAAACAACATCATGACCTTACAGAGCCGCCGTAAAATAACAAGACTAAAATTTCTTTATCAGCTTTGGAACCGTAAACTTGCACTCGACCCCGCTCCTTATCTAAACCTTTTGCCCCATAGACCCACTAGGAACTTTCACCCTTTTAAATTTAACTCGATTTTTGCACGCACAAACAAATTCAAACATTCCTTTTTCCCACGCACCATAAGTGATTGGAATGCCTTACCATCGGAAACCTTCTTATCAAATAATGTTCTTCAGTTGTTTAACCAGCTCGCAGAATAAATTTGTAACGGTGCCTTTATCCTGTGATTGGTTTCCCATATCTAGTTGTGTAAAATCTGTGCTACGCTACTGTTATGATCATTGCTGCCTTGCTTCGTTTTTTTTTTTCTGTTTTGGTTTTTACCTTCTTATGTGCCATATGTCTGAAATATGCACTGATTAGTCCTCTCCTGTTCTCTGGTGTTTTCTTCGATTGTTCATTGCTTATTTCTTCTTGCTCTCAATTTGTATTTCTTTTTTTTGTTTAAAATTGGTTTTCATCATTGATATACAAACAAACCACTCCTGCTTGGGCCGCCCTAGGCCTGCAGTATTGTATAAATAAAATAAAAAAAATATGATGCTACATATTTATGCTCTGAAACACGCTTATTTACATGACAGTGTTGACACAATTAAAATTAAAAGTAATCGGTAATTTGCATTTGCTTTCTTTTTTTCTGTCGCAACTCCATCAGCATCGTTTGCAGCTTGCCCAAGAGCTATAGTGCAGCGTCCCAATTCTCACCTGTTGAGAAATGCTGTTGTTTCGTTGTTTTGCATCTCTATAAGTTTGGTTTGGTTAGATTTTGCAACACATTGTGGTCATTGTAGGCTGACTATTGCGAACAGCAATGAGAACTTGGGGCTCCCAGTTCGAATTACCTGTTGCGGATACCAACGTATATAAATGCACAGAGCTGTGCCGGCACCAAGGCATCAGTTCAAATTAACAAATAGTTCAAGTTAAGCTTTTACTGTACGTTCAAAGCATGGCTTGTCATCCAGTTTGAATTATCTGTTATGTACGGATATCAACGTGTTTCAATTATCTGGAGTTCTGCCCCACATAAATGCACAGAGCTTTGCTGGTACCAAGGCATCAGTTCAAAGTTCAAGTTAACCAAGTTCTAATTAACGAACTTTTACTGTACATTCAAAGTATGTTGATTCAATTACTGCAACATGTCTTGTCTTTACGCGTATACTGTATGTGAGAAGTATATGCTCCTATTACTTTCAGTGCCGTTTGTCCACTTTGCCGGTTCAGTGCGAGTGCATAGAAGGTGTCTATTTTCGCGATGCCAGCCTCCGTTGTTATTACTTTAAGAATCGAATTGCCATTGCTTTGCTTTTCAAAATTCAGGATGAGCTGGCGTGGAGCTACCTGATGGGATACCTGGGTCTCTCTGTGTTCTGCATCGTTCTTTCTCTGGTGACAAACATATCTGCCCAGCTTGTGTCCTTGCGGTCGGTCAAGGTGTTCCACAACAACATGATTGACAACATTGTCCAGTGTCCCATGAGGTACAGCTATGTTCTGTGACCTGAAAAAAAAATTTTTTATGACTGTTCTTGCGAGCTTTCTTGTTTAACTTTATTGAATCTCTGAATGTAGTGCACATTATCTGCAAAATTCCTGCTGTAAAAAAGCATTTCTGAAATTTTCTCTGAATTTGCTTCCAACAGTGGCCAAGTCATCAGAAAAAAACATGGATTATCTATAGCTAGATAGCTTTGTTTCTAAGCAACAGTGCATGATATATATGTGTTAGATACATCTAGTGATCTTTTTGTTTTATCACTTTGCTCTCCCATTAGTGGATGTTGTCCTGAAGCCATGTTTTTTTCTTAACATAGAATTGTGTTTTCAAAAGTATTTCTGCCAGTGCATACCATGTGTGTCTTGTATAGTTGTTTGAAGACATTATGTAAAAGAGCACAGGCATGGCTCTGTATCAAGACACATTACGTAAAAGAAGTGTAAACTTTCAAGTAATGTGTCTATGCACCTGAAGCTTGTCAAACAACAGCCTGAATACTTATTATGCTTTTGTTTTTCTGCTAACAAAAATTTATCATCAAGGCAATGTTGCTTATAGCAGATATGGGTTCTGGCTGTTGTAAATCTTTTATTGTTGTTGGTTGAAACATCTTCATGGCCTTATTTTAGTGCACATGACGATAGTTATAGCGCGAGAACAGAACAACAACAAAGAGACTAGAAGTACACTTCTTCTCCTTCTTGTCTCTTTGTCGTCATTCTGTTCTCGCGCTATAACTATCATCATGTCATACCAACTAGCTCAAGCTGCCATACATTTAGTGCACAATTTTAAAAACAAATTAGCATCAGTGTTTTGGAATAACTTTTTAGTTGAGCTGTAATAATTTCCATTTCATGTTATATCTTCGTGCAGATTTTTTGATTCCAATCCGATTGGAAGGATCATAAACAGATTCTCAAGTGATATGGGCGTCATTGACAAGGTGAGATGTTAATGAATTATTAAAAAACGGCACATTACCTTTCATTCTCACAACGTGCTGCCTTTGTGAATTTGGGCATTTTGATTTCTTTTCCATTTCATTATTCTCTCATCATTTTTTCAGATTTGTCTAAAACACATTCATTAAATCACCCAGCGAGTGTTGATATTGCGGCAAGCTTGTCTGCAGATTAAAAAGATAGGCCTGCTTTAAATGCAGGGTACTTTTTCAACTAAACTGAAAGAATGTTGGTGATCAGTTGAATCACTAAAAAGTCCGCTTTAACTTAGACACATTGATTATAATGAGGCGATCCAGCTTACTATGGGCCTTGTGCTTTGTCACTTCGTTTTTACCTTGTCTGTCTTCCTCTGTGCAGAATCGCAGGCTAGGGCAAACAATCTCAGGTTGACCTCTCTGCTTTCTAGAAAAGTCATCTTTCTCTCTCTCTTTTGTACAAATACATTCCTCACAATTTTCGTTGCTTAGCTGTGCTTTTATATGTTCATTTTGCAGAAACTTCCCGTGACAATACCTGTCCTGTTAAGGTTCTTGATGCTCTGCCTCTCAGCTATACTGGTTGACGTCTGTGTGACGCCATACTTCTCAATAGTGGTGGTGTTGGTCGTAGCTGTCTACTACTACATTCAATCCTTCTTCCGGCACTCTTCAAGGTGAGCTCGTTCTCACAAATGGCTAGGATATATCTCAATCCTGTGGCATACACGTAATTGCAAAAGAAATTGTGTTTAAAATAAGCAGGACTAGGCTGCATAAATTAAGCATGGGGCATCCTGCCTTTAAAAGACTGGTTGGCATTGTATTTCGTAAAGCATCCCTACATTTGTAAATTTTGCAGTTCTACAGCTTATTAGACCAAGGGTCACTACTTCAGTAGAGTAATAACAGCTTTGTTATAATTTCGAATAGCACTTCACTTTTAATACATATCATTTTCATTAATGGTTGCTTTTCATTCGTTGTCTGGCATTATTTTTATTGCGATAGAAAATATATGGACACTCTCGGCTGAATTTTGTCACCGGCATCGGCGTCGATGTCTTGCATTGTATATGTATACATATCTATATATATCAAAATGCAAGAAAGCAAAAAAAACCCAGAAAGTACTCTGGCGCGCTGAAACGAACGTGGAACCTCTGCGTTGTGAAAGCGAGGTGTTAACCACTGAGCCACTCCAGAGCACGTTCTTCACCGTTCAAACGGCAAGCTATTTATATTTACCACTGCTCACGAACATCTCAAGGGAATTGTGTTTTAAGCATTACCAGGAAGATGGCGCAATGAGCACGCATTACCACATCGCGTGGCAGTGCGCGCTCTAATCTCGCGCACATACTTTTCCCGCTTATAAAAGGAGAGCAACTCTCCCTGGCGCTCCCTTATCTCTCAGTGGGGAGAAGGGGAGGATTGTACGACTTGGTTGGCCTCGGGCATTACCTGGAACGATTCTGCTGTAGTTACTGGGCACAGAAAAGTCACTGCAATCATTGCAGTCTCGAGATCTGTTTGCGAAAAGCGCATGCTTGTCAGACACAGTGAAGTAACAACTGAGACGCTTATTCACGTGCATTCGTACCTGTGAGTACGTTTTGTACGCCATGTGTGCGTGAGAAACACGGGGCAAGTCTCGATCTGCTTTCCAATCTGCGCGTGAACTTTCAATTTGTTTCTATCGCGTTCATTGCTTCGCCTTTGCGGCAAAGCTAGGATTTTTTTTCTCAGAAACATGCCTTGCGCTCTCAACAACCTCAAGCAGCCCTCTGTGAATAATTTCAATTCTAGTGTTCTCGTGTAATACTAGAAACAGTGCCGTAAATTAGGTTGCCTAAGTACTCACTGTTGAATTACCAGCAGAAAACCAGTTTTTTACGTGCATTAACTTTAATCCATTGACTGAGGTACGTTCTGAATCGCATACACAACAGAGGAAAATAAGGCAACACAGGTGTGAGAATTTTTATTTTCTGGGGTCATAAAGTATAGTAAAGTAGTAGTAGAAGTTTCTCGGCGTGACATTATGCATTTGTCAAAGCACTTTCATCTTGTTACACATTTAATCTTTCTATTTCAGACTGGTCTCTTCATTGGAAGTATAATTTAATTTCTTCTATCCCTTGATCTTTTCTTCTTTCAAACCACAGAGAGCTACAGCGCCTTGACAGTATTACAAAGAGCCCTGTTTTCTCACACTTCTCCGAAACTCTGTCCGGGCTGAGTACAATAAGAGCATACAGGTGAGCCTAGAGTAATGACTGTAGTGAAAGTGTGCGCTTACACTTATGTGCATTTAACTCCGTTTACGTTGCTCGGAGTTCGCAAGTTTTTCTCGTGTTATTTCTTGCAGGGAAGAGGGTAGGTTTGTAGAAAGGATGAATGAACACATCAATGACAACAATTTGGCCTTCATCATGGTCAACTGCGCCAACTGCTGGCTTGGGGTATCACTGGTGAGTTTTAGCTATATGCATGTTGTAGTATGTTTGTTCCTGTGTAGAATCTGATGAGGTTGGTTGCAGAGATTTCATCGCATAGTTAGAAGCAAATGTTGTTGCAGTACTACTAGCTAATCATTCTATGCAGGCGTTATTGCTGCTAAAGAAATGTACTATTACACTGACAAATTATGTACAGTAGTCTCAGATTGAAACGCGACGTCAAATTTTTAGTGCGTATATGTGATATGCACTCTTGCTCGGGAGAAACACGTCACGTCACGACGAATCAGCTCTTTAATAGTAATGTTGCCTCTGATCAATGCATTCGAGCCTGGTGTACGTCGAAATGACCTGTATTGAAGACAGTGGAAGTGAAAGTATGTGCATTACTTAGCCATAAATTGTCACATTCCACTCTGAGATTACTGTACACTTATGTCTGCTATTTCTTTTGATTACTGTTTCACTCAGCGCTGCCTTGTGGACAATGTTTTGGCTGCAATCATGTCTCGTAGCAAAAATGAAATAGACCAAGAACTCGTATTTTTGAAGCGTATGCCTGCATAATTGGCTGCTATGTGTCTTGTACAGAGGTTGCATAGAGACTTAAAGATTGTGTTTTTGAAGTGTAAATTTAGAGGCGGCTTATCTACACAGGACAGAAACCTGTGAAATTTTGTTTTGTTTGTAACATACATACGCATATACTTCTCTCCCTCCGTCTCATTTTTGCTGTGTTTTCATATGTATCCTTGCATTGTCTCTATTTCAAGGACTATCTTGGCGGCGTAATCCTCTTCTTAGCAACTATTTCCTCCCTCACTGCGGCCATTATGGGAACAACCAGTACATCCTTCGTGGGCATTGCCATGACGTACACATTGCTTGTAAGCAGGCACTTCCGTCACTTGTTAGATAAACACAGCGAAGTTGTGGCATTCTCACTCTATAAATGTGCCCTCCTTATTATAGTAGATTTTTCTGGAAGTGCAGTATGCTCTCTTCAAGTGTGCATCATGATAGAACGTCAGACAATATTCAGCTCTTTATGTTACTGCAGCTCTGCATTGCATAAACTGTACATGCTCCTGTCATTAATTCACGCACTGGAGGGTTGTACTCTGCATTGTTAGGCATGATGAACTTGAACTGCTACGGATAACTAAACTTCTTTCTGTGCCTCCTGGATAAAGAAAAGCTTGCATTTTTTGCTCGCTTGATTTCTGCATGAGGCCCATCGTTATGACTTTTGTGTGATTGTTTCATTAGCCATAAAAAATTGCATTTTTGTTGCGTGCCTTCCAGGTGCCTATCTATTTAAATTGGCTCGTGAGGCAAGTCTCTAATGTGGAGATGTACATGAGCTCTGTTGAGCGTGTCAACAAATACTGCCATTTGCCCATTGAGCAAGTGCCCTCACCCGTTGAAGGTAAGTATTCGTTTCCTCATTTTACGATTTCAGTGTATGGCGAGTACCTAGTACATACGCGTATGTAGGGCTATATTGTCAAAACATGCGTAAAGGCGGGGAAAGTTAAGTTGATTGCATCCGATCAGTACATGTTGTCATGAATAAGCAAATTCATGAATCATGCACCACTGAACCTTTTATGCAACATTCTTTCAGTCAGGATTGTGCAAAGGGCAATCAAAAGTGAAAAGTATCAAATCAATTTTTATGGTGCATTGGCATGGCTTGTACCTTTTTTTAAACTTGAAGTAGCTGTTGACCATACTATTCGAACATGGGCATGCCAGTGGCAATGATAGTGAAGACACATGAGAAAAGCACGGTGTCTCTGTACTCATTCATTAGCAAGGCTAGAAACATGCAACATATGCATTATTTCTTTCTTTATGCTTACTAGCTCTAATACTAGCCAACAAAAAGTTGAGGTAATGTGGTATTCTTTGCTTTTCAGCGACTGCTAGGCTGTTTTCTGTTAACCAGAGCTAGAGGAACTGATTGGCATTTTAGTTTTTATTGATCAGCTGTGTGCCAACCACAATGCCTACTTATGTTGGGGTCAATTGCAAATTGTAAATGTTGAACATTGTTTAGATGTAATGATCGGTTGCTTCGCAAGGCTTGTTGGTAGCTCAGGAATGTTCACTGACCAGGAACTGTGTATTCTCTTTTGCAGTGCCCCTTGACTGGCCTAGCAAAGGGGAGGTGCGATTCGAAAAAGTCACGATGACTTACGAGGCAGGCCTCGACCCTATTCTGCGTAACGTCTCAGTCACTTTTGCACCCGGTGAAAAGGTGAGACCTCAGCAAAGCTTCTCTAGGACCGCTTTTATTTTTTAATGCACTCCTGAAACCGTGGAGTAACTGTCACAATACTTAGAGTTGGCTTCCCACTAAATTTCAGCTTGGTTATCTAAACAGTGACACCATCCAGACATACGTCACAGCTTAGCGAGACACATTTTAATGGCGGAGTAGTGGGACACATGATACCATTTCCAAAAATGCAGCATAGCCCAGACTCGACTCCAGTGAGTTGTGCAGAGAGTGATTACTCCTATAAACAAACACAAGCCGTCATCTCCGAGGACTCTCAATGATGGGCACGAGCCACGATTGTCTACACAGGATGAGCGAAGCAGTACTAAGCTCGCGAATAACTACCCCTCTGATCAACTTTCTCACTCTCCATCTGTCGTCTTTTGTTTCTTTTGACTAGAGACTTAGATGGTCACCTTTCGCGCATGGAATAATCGCAGGAAATAAGCTGCCCACTATGAGTGCCCACTATAGGCACCTGCTGCCCACTATAGACACTGATCGCTGTAGGGAAGACAATTAAATGCACAGTTGTAAACATTCTGGTAGCAGTTCAGCCAACAATAAGGAAGGCAGCTATCTCCGTCTGCGAACTCTTGCTATATTCGTGACATTTTAATGCAGAAATTGGTCTGAGGTGATAAACTCTTCGGATTTTTGAGATAGCTTGAAGTGGTTCAAATAGAATTTGAGCCACATAATGCAATCGTGTAGATTATCGTTTTCTTTGAGCATGTCCTTTTGTGTGATTGCTTACCTTTATTGGCATTGTTTACAAAAGCTGCGGCGCAAAAGTCATGGTCTGAAAAATGTAGTATGTACTATGAGGAAGAGTCGGTGACTGCGCTCACAGTACTTATATTAGCAGACACGAACTCATATTACACACATCTTTCTTCAAGGTTGGCATTTGTGGACGAACAGGCAGTGGCAAATCATCACTAGTTATGGGCCTTTTCAAGATGGTCCCCGTCTGTGAAGGGAAAATTTTTGTGGATGACATAGACATCTCTCTGGTACCTTGCGATGTGCTGCGCTCTCGCCTTGCCATTATACCCCAGGAACCAATTCTCTTTTCTGGAACAATCAGGTACGTTGGTTGGTGTTCTTGCATATGAAATCAGTACTCATACTCGTAGATTGTGTAAGCAAGGGAATTAATGTTTAGGTACACATTCTACACACCTTATCTTTCAAGATGAAAGTACCGTAAATGTGCTAAAAGTGCTGTTTAGTGCTTGTGTTGCCTGTGTCTTGATTTATTTAAGTTCTTTTTGGGTTGCAAAAGATAAGCAGTTGTGTTTAAAAAAATGTGTGGAGGAAACTTTGCGCAGCTGTCATCATTGTCAGGCATTTATTGTTGTTTTTAGAAAACACGGAAAGAAATTAATGACTCAACTTAGTCGTTTCAACTACCAAGTATCCTAACCTCTATAAAGCCACTATAAATCTTGTTTGAAGCAACAACAAAGTTTGTTTCTTTCGTAGTATTGAAGTGCCATTTGCAAAGTGTAATTGAGAAGCTATTGCTCTTTATTTTTCTCTTTCTCCACCCCCCTTTTTTCTCTCTTTCTCTTCTCTTTCTCTGTGCATTCTTCCTCTTCCACTTCTTCTGTCGACTGGAAGCAGTGCCCTCTGATCGTAAGCATTTCAGAAATTCACATGCTACTTTTATGTTTGTAATTAAAGTGACGCTTTTATATAACGCAGGCTATGCAATGCCTAGAGCGTTGCAGAGCCCCTATCAAGTAATTTTCTGTTTTGGTGTTAAAATATATATGATCTATTCAGGCCACACTTTTCTGATGTGAACCTTCCTTGTTTTTGTTTCTTACCCTTTTTTTTTGCATTCCTGTGATAATGACTATTAAGTAGGTTTCAAAGCAAACCAATGCTATTAAGGGAAGATGCGAATAGAAAAATGGAAGTTTTTTCAGAAATTACATATTTTTCGTTTTTATTTGCTTTTGCAAGTTTAGTTTTTTTACATTCACCAAAAAAATGAAGATTGTAATTAAACTTGAAGTATGTTAAAATCACTTTTAAAAAGCACAAGGTGGCTACTAAAAATTAAGAAGCTCATTGTGTAAAGTCACCTGGAAATGATTACCTGGCTGCTTGCCATTGCATTTTGCATGAGGAGTTCACTAAAGCTGCACGCTCAAAATGACTATGATTGCCAAGCTATTATGTGGAAGAAATCATCTTAAAAAACATACCTTTCCTGCATAGATTAACTTTCACTTATATCTTTAAAATGTGTTTTTCTCAAGATCGTGAAAGGTGCAAGTATCTCCTTTAAAACTTGGTATCACCTGTATAATTATAACAAACCTAAAGTAAGCAGTTAATATTGGCTGATGATTCTAAGAATTCTCACATTATAACTTTATTTGTTCATTAAAATTGCTTTATAAGCACTTTCTTGATACTTATTTGCATTCTACAGTAGATGTTGAGCAATATGAGCCATTAGTGTCTCAGAACATCAAAAGTTTAGTGGTATGAAAAGTTTGGCCAATAAAAGTACACCTAATACATTGGTACAAAACAAAAACCGTGCAACTTACTAAAAAACTAATTACATATTTCAAATCAGCATAAAAGCCTATATATACATCAAAAATTTCATTCTCTCAGGCTGCATGGTACAGCAACTTTTTTTTTTTTTTGAAATCGCATCTTTCCTTAAGATGAAAATTTGCTTAATTTCCAACAAATGGGCAGCTGAATGACAGTCCACTGAATCATTAGAAGAAATACACATTTTGAAATCTGTACAGTTTTTTTATATACTGTATGTTACTGTTATGTCTCTTTGAATGTATATCATGTCCTAGGCAAAACTTAGACCCCAAGAGGGTTCACACAGATGAAGAGCTTTGGAACGTACTGGAAAAAGCTCATCTGAAGGAAATCGTTGCTCTGTATGGTGGTCTGGGTAAGTTCTCTAATTTCTTTGTTTTCTTCGTGTCCTCACATTTTGTGTTTTCCCACCAGATGGCGAAGTTCATGAAGAAGGGTCAAACTTCAGTATTGGCCAAAAACAGGTTAGTAACCAACAAGGCATGCAGCTCTGCTGTGTGTGTGTGTGTGTGTTGGGGGGGGTGCGCGTGCGCGCTACTCACCAGTCGCAGTTATTAACATAGAGTTGCGTAATAGCTGAACCTGTTTCGTTAACATGCCCTAAGACTACCACACAACTAGGCCCTTTCCCTGAGATGCAATGCTCCCTTCTGTATTAGCTAATGGTGTCACTGTATGCACAGAAATCTTTCAATATCATTGTGCCATCTCCGCTATTCTGTACGATCCACAACAGTGCATTTTGATTTCTTTCATGCTTATTCTGTAAGTGTAATAAATCACGGTAATAATTTTTAGTCCTAAATATTTTATAGTGCCCTCAAGTGTACTTTGATCGTTAATCTCGTCTAGGATAATTGTTTGCCTACATTTATTCTACAGTCTATCCAACCACCTTTCCTGTCTGTTCACATTGTACACATCATTTGTTTTTCAAGTGAAGATTGTTAAGGCTCGGACATTTTAGTTACAAAGATGCACACGAAAAAAACCCAGCACCGGCGATTGTACAGGGAGGCAGCCCTCGAAGGTGCCCAAGTCATGCTCACATGTGCCATTTTCCAATAATTGATGATCTCTCTTTTGTGAGATTGGCAGTAATCAATCGTTTCTGATATGGAAATCTGACCTTTTATCAAGGTCACTTGTAATTCCACATTGCCAGATTTCAGAGCTTTTGCCGGGATATAGATTCATTGTTGTCTTTGTTGCAAGTAGCAATTGAAGTGTTGCACTGCTAAGCACGTGAATGAAGATCGAATACCCGTAATGAAAGAAGGAAAACGTTAAGAGGGACTATTGTGGATGCAATTGAAAAAAAGAAAGAAAGAAAGAAGTGATAAGTCAGACACGCACATGCCATGCCAAGTTTTGCTAGCCTCCATTTTCACGATAGAGCAAGAGGCCCCGAATTTTTCCATCCCCAACTCAGCAATCATTTGCTTCTTTCCAAGCTCCCTCATAGCTTGTTTTGTTGAGTTTTAGTATGTGCACAGTACCTAACAAAGTTTCGTGTGTGTGTATTCAAGTGGCTGTGAAGTTATATTCTGTAACCATTTCCGTCATGTCTTTATTTGTTCGTCAGCTGTTTTGCTTTGCCCGAGCTCTGCTGCAGCCCTCGAAGGTTCTCATCCTGGACGAGGCAACCTCGTCCTTAGACGTCAAGTTGGACAACCTTATACAGGAGACTGTACTCAATGAGTGGGCCAACTCAACTGTACTGGCCATAGCTGTAAGTACCTGGTTGCAAGCACTTCAAACTATTGTTCCACAAATGTACCTTTAGCAGTACTGCACATTATTGAAGCGAAGCCTTCTTTTTTTCACAAATATTAGTAGCTTTTTGCATTTTGTCATTGTTTGTGAATAATCTAGTAAGAAACCTAACAGGGCATCACATTATTGTTCATCCTGCATGGTGCATAAGCATTGTTTAGCATTAGACAGAATTGCATAGCATAACATGTACTAAATCTGAACTAGGTGTCACTATTTTTCTAGTAAATATGTATTATAACATGGCTTCACTTGAATCATTGACTTTTATTTTTTTTATGACATGTTCTGACTATATTTTTTCAATCTATATTGTGTTCTAATGTGATAATGTCACAATATTAGCCTTTAAGTTCAAATTCATCATGGCTTCTCGGCAAGCAGCTATGGCTATTTCTGGCAGGGTAGCACATACGACACATTGCTACCACTCAACGTTGTCATTCAAGTGCATTTCATTTAAGACGGTGAAGTGTCTGAAATATTTTAGTCCTTCAGTATTGAAATGTTTGTGTGATTATGCAACTGTGTGCACAACTTATGACCATGCTGTACTCACTCATCTGCTACAGTTTGTGTTAACACACAGATATTGATAGTGTTTTCTGCTTTTTACCATTGTAGCATCGCGTGACCGGTTTGCTGAACTTCGACAAGATCGTCGTTCTCGAAGCTGGTCACATTGTCGAGTCTGGCTCACCGGCGGAGCTGAAGCAGAAGAGAGGAAGCATATTTATGTCTCTCCTGAAGGAAGCTGAGCAGTAGCAGCGTAGAGAAATGATGTGCCATCTCCAAAGCTCGGACAGGAGCATCTCTGAACAGGGCCACATACACACTACACTGTTGAGCAAACACGCACAGATTCAATTTTATCTAAAACAGCACGCCACGCGAGGCACTTTAACTCTACCATCTGCTGTACGTTCCAACTGCACCCTCATTGTTTTGGGAAAATACCTAGTAGAGATACTTCCAAAAGCTTATGACCGAATGGCTTACTGCGGCTGGCAGTGCTTGCTCTAATGTTATATTCAAGCACTGTATCTGTAAGGCACTGTCTGAACTACCTCATGAAAATTGCTCCGACATATTTCAGCCTTTTGTCAGCATGTCTTTTTAGCTGTTCCTTAATGATAATCAATAGATAATGAATCCAAAGAAGGTACAGGAGATGTTATTTGTACTCTTTTAGCTGTGTTTTAGAAATTATGATATAGTAAGTGTGAAGAAATTAAAGCGGCTGAAAAGACAACATGCCGCCAGTTGAGACCGAGCCCGCAACCTTCAAATGACGCTTCCGGTGCTCAACCGATCGAGCTACGGCAGCAGTTGCTTTTCCGTCTTGCCTGTCTGGTATTTTCATGCATGCAAACCTCGGTCTGGTATAGTTGGTGCTGCTTGTGGTTGTGACAGCAAGTGTGGAACATTCTTATTTGCCAGTGGACATCACGTAATCCATTTAGAAGCTGGTACCTGACCAATAAGCCCACGCATACTAGAAGGAATCAAGTCTGCCGTAACGAGACCCCCGGAACGAGTGGGGTTTTAAGAGCTCACTTTTCTTTACAATACACAACGTTAGTAACAACAAGTAACACAACCACAATCGCCAGCTAAGGTGCACTTGGCTGTAGTTGTTCTGCAAAAGTTATGTCTTATTGTCCGTGTTTTAGCCACGATAGTAGCGAGGTTGTAATCCCAGCTAAAATTTCTTGATTAGTGTTGTTGTTCGGAGCGGACAATTTTTTATGTGCATTTCTGCAAATACTGACTGCAGGATTTTAATTTTGACCAAATTGTGTTTTGTATTGTCACATACACTCAAACCTCGATATAACGAATCTGGATATAACGAAAATCGTTTATTACAAAGTAAATGAAAGATAGTCTCGCTATAGATTTAGTGTTAGGAATAAACCTTTATAACGAGTTTTCAGATATAACAAACTTGTTTTCTTGTAAGATTCAAGTTTGTTATAATGATGTCCGAGTGTACAGTTGAGCCCCCTTCAGAAGAGACATGCTCCGGGCAGCAATTCTTGTCTCTTATTAGCAGGGTACCTCGTATGCATATTATTATCAACCCATATTTTACCGTTAGCACACTGGTCTCTCTTATACCCATTGTCTGTAATAGCAGTGTCTCTTATAAATGGGTTCGACGTATATGTCTGATTAAGCCTTATGCTCGTTATAAACATCTTTCTTGGTAACACCGGTAGCCATCGTGCAAATGCTACATCTGTTGTAGTTTCCCTGTTGAAGCACTGAGTTATATGTGCCAAGCACGCTGTGTAACAGCCCTATTCCATACCAGTGCGGGTTCTTTTAACAAGTGTTTATTAAGCATATTTGGTTCCGACTGCCTAAGTGCCATTTGCTTATGTAAGTATGTAATGTGCCATTAACTTACGTACAGCACTTGTTACACTCTCTTCTTGCATCAGCCGAAGGGTTCACCATTTTTCTCTGTCATTGCCCCTTGCCATCGTCCCTATTACTGAGCAGCTTTTAGGATTATTTATTGTTTTTTATGTTGTGTCTTTACTTTTTTACTGTTCTGTGCTGAAGTTCAAAAAAATGGTCATTGCATAGAAGGAGATATTTATTTTACGGACGGAATACTCTATTTTTGCCAATGTCACTTCAACACATGTTCTTGAAGAAGTTATTTAATAAAGATATTTATCAAGTATGCCTTGGACATTTTTCAAGTGATATTTTATAGCGAAAATAAATTTAAGTATGCATGCATACTTTTTGTATGACTATATGTAGGAGCTCACACTACTCTGAAATTCTGTGACCAATGGGAAAAATAAGATGTTTAATGAAAGAAAGAAGGACAGGTTGGCCTGCAAAGCCTGCTACTCTCACAAGTTTCTATTTATTTCACTCTTTTTTTTTTTAACATAACATTTAAACATTCACTTTTTGTTTCAAATTCTATTCAATTTTTTTTTTGTTTCAATGTCTAAGCAGCCCTCCAACTATCATCAGGATAAATAAATCATGAACAATGAATTATTAGGTAGAAGAAGCATTCTGTAAAAGTAAATCTTGCAATTATACAGGCCTCATATTGTAGCAGCTATGCAGTGTGCACAGTTAACCATGTTTCTAATGGTAAGGGCTTATTTATGCCAAAGGACTGCTTGCAAGCATGGACGCAAGAGGTAGGTCAAAACAATTCAAATGCACTTTGTTTTGTCTGGATTTCTCTTTTGGGCACTGGTCAGCATGCTCAGGACTTATTCACGTCAGCGATTTCCGGAGAATGCACAACCAACTTGGTTTCTCTGTTCAAAAGCTTTTCACGGCCACTCGGGGCAACAGGCAGATCATACTTATCAGGTCTTCTCACCATTTTATATATAATTTGAAAAACGAAAACAAAACAATAAGTCAGTGGTATTGAAGCGACCAGCACTCAGATTGCAGGCCGTTCTTCCGGCACAACATTCACTTCAAGGGATAATCGTCACATGCAGTTGACACAGAGTAAATTGAACTTTACAAAAGGTTGCCTATGCAATGTGCCATAAAAGTTCTACTTTGTTTGGTAGATTGTATGACATGTTGTCCACGATATGTTGCCCAGCCCTGCCCGTTGAATTCTGATGTGGGGAACGTTCAGTGGGGGATCTGGAAAGGGGCGGTAGGGGCGATCCCCCTCCCAAAGCCTGTATCAGCCCCCCCGTCCCTCTCATTAGTTGGGGTCGTCCATCTCTTATCACCAATTAGAAGAAATCAATGGGACCACGGGGAGCATTCATTTCCAGTATTTATGCTATGACTGGGTTTTCATGCTAGTAAGAAAAAAAAAAAAAAAAGGCCCGGACAATGAGCTTGCTGCTTTTCGAAATCTCTTTTCAATCAGTTCATTTTAAACAATTAATACACTGTCAATCCACCACATTTGCCTCGAGCCCCACCAACAATCAATCAATCAATCAATCAATCAATCAAACGTTAGTTGCTGTGGCGAAGTTACAACGAATTACCCAGCAAATCGACTCTTAAAACTAATAGGTCAGATTTGCGCAAGGCTCGCGGCTATGTCGTGTCTCCCGCATCTCTGGCAGAGTGTCTATGGAGGCTGCAAAGCGTGAAAACGATGGCCTCCGAGATTCCGTCGCTGTTTGGTGTCGCGTGCGCATAGAGGTATCGTGTAAACGTGCTATTCTTGCAATGCTCGTGTTTACGACAACCGCTACATCAAAACGTGAACGGTATAGCCTCATATTGCGTTAATTAAATGTATATTTAAACCTCTAAAGCATCGCGTGCACATAAAAGTAACATTTGTGTATTTTCGCCTAGCTTCTTGCGAGCGCCACAAATCTCATTCGCAAAATTTTAAAAAGTCTATTACAACAATAATAAAAACTTTACTAAATATTATTTTTAAAAAGATATGTGCTTATTTTATTTTTAGGTTACAAACTTCTTGGTTATCTTTTGTAGCAATATTTGCGTGCGACACCTATCGCCAGAACGACTGGACCACGATCTCGTTCATTCCTGCAGCCTTTTCCACGTTTCTGTGTTGCGGTGTAGAAGACGTTTCGTGTCCCCGTGACTTAAAAGTGAGTAAATCGTCATTAACTACTGGCAGTGTGTGTCCGCGTTGTCGCGCTGATCAAAATGTTGATCCTGAACTGGCAAAAGTACTCACATTCAGTAATTAAGGGCCAAATCGCTTGGGAAATTCCAACAGCCGCTGTGTAAGGCATTAAGCCTAAGCCGAACAACACGTGTAGAAGTGTGCGCGAAGTACGATACGACCGATCTTTATATGAGAAAAGAAAGCCGTGTGTTCGTCTCTTGAGTTTTATTTTCGCTACGTGGGGCAAGATGTTTAGGTTGATTTCTAGCGCCGTTCTAAACTTTGACTTAGTCCTGGAAGCGCGAGATATGGTGTTGGCAAACGCTCGTAAACAGCGCACACCGAATCGCGTGCTTTTCACGGTTTTCAAATTGTCTCTTCCGTTTATGCTATATGTGGTTTGTTTGCCGTTGTGTCAGTTCATATATGGAACAAGGTATGAGGCACTTGTTTAAGGTAAGCGTTAGACAGGTTAAATTTTACTCTCGATTCGTGCAGATTAGGTAATGAATAAATACGGTGCACTGTTACAAGCAGGTCAAAGTAGACTAAACCCTCGTACCACACATGAAAGTAATTTGCCTCATCCTGCACATGGTTACACCTTGCACAGAAGTTACCGTGCACGTGCTTGCACCAGGCGTTCTGAAGTATTTCGTGCTGCCTAATTTTCTATGATAGTAAACTTAAATACTGAAAACAAATTCACCTACTACTCGGCCAATTTCCTGCATTGGGTATGAGCCGTAAAGGAGAAGATCCTGCGCGATTACAAATCGAAGTACGTGTTCTGGCAGTTTTACAAAGCCTTTGAGACTACTTGCGAACGTCGTGTTTATTGCTTCGAGTATGTGCTTTGAATGTAAATCTACCCGGCGCAATGTTGCCATTTCTGTAGCATTGCCCTTCGTGAGCGGCTACTGCTTCTTGTGGGTATTACTGCGGCGCTCGACTGAGGCCGATATAGCCCGTTTGTATTGCTCAGCATGCGGCGATCGAATAGACTAACTTTGAGCTTCGTCGCAGATGCGTTACGTCGCCGCTTACCTCCTGGCCTCCATGGGCGGCAACAAAGACCCATCTGCCGCCGACATCGAAAAGATTCTCGGCAGCGTCGGCATCGAATCCGACAGCGAGCGACTAAAAAAGGTCATCAGCGAGCTGAAGGGAAAGACGGTCGACGAAGTCATTGCAAAGGGTGAGTGAGCTGAGAGTTCTTTATTGTTTATTTTTGAAGCGTTTAGGCTCACCAGTGACATACATGGCGTGCAAAACGTAACAACCCTGCCATATGGCGCTGATGCCGTTTCTACCTAATACAAATTCACGTGGTTAGTTGGCTAGCACATGGAGGCATTAATTGAAAATGGCTTGTGCAGATGAATGAGTTGGCTGTATTTAGTCGAATGTGTTAATCAGGCATGAGCACTCTTGCCGAAAAGAGTTTGAATTCAAATATGTAATAACGGGTAAACTATTTCATGATAACTATTATTGTTGTCAGCGTCAATGTCTAGAGCTTTGCTGGCCGTGTCAGGCCATGTGCTTATACATAATAGCTGTGAGTCCAAAGTACAGCTTGCATAGCAGGCTATGGCACCAGTGCAATCAGACATTTGCTGTAAACAATTTTTATTGAGGCCTGATATACATAACATTTTTCACGCGTGTGGCAGCCCTTTTGTCCATTCCTGTCTGATTTGTCGTGACTTCAGTCGTATGGAAATGACATTGCATCCTGTCGTGTTGCAGTGCATGGCACCCGATGCCATTTCATGTGTCAAATGTAATTTGATACAATTGACGTCAAACCTTCTTGTGGGACAAAGGCTTTGGCTCAGTTTTACTAGTTTCGGCAGATTACTTAGTAGATACACAGCTAGGTTCACTGTGCTAAATGTTCAGAGCAGCCCCAGGGACTCGCTAGATCACAAATGGTTTTCTGAATGAACTTGTGCATTGAAGCAATCGGGCTAAAAGTTATTGCATGGCTGAAAAAAGGGAATTGCCACTTGTGTAAATTTTTAGAAAAAGTATTTCGTAGCAAACGGTCTCATTGACTTAAATGGCAAGTGCGTATGATGCGTCTCTACATTTTACGCAACCTAATTTTCGCTGTGGAAGTTGTGGGGAATATTTAAGCTTGAGAAGAAGAGAAAGCGTTAAACGAGATTGTTGTGTGAGCTAACATTTCAGGTAGGTGGTTAGATACTTTTCTAGATAAAGCTTCCAAAAATTAGCTAGAGGGGACTGGTGCTGCAATCGTTCAGCCACCATGGGAATGATAGGTAGTGTGCAAGTTCGCCTTGTCTTCGTGCTTTCGGCTTCGAATGCTCTCATGGATTTGTTATCCTTGTGTGTTTCCGTGTTTAATTTGGATAAAAGAACGGATCATTGTGGACTTCGCAAACTGATTTGGATTCGTGAGATTAAAAGGTTAATGTGCTTAAGTGTAACTGCTAAGCATTTGCAGATTTTCGTTTTGTGACAAAGTGGCCCCAGGCCACGTGAAGCCAAACGGAGTTGAAAGGACGAAAACTAGGCAGATTTCTGTACTACCCATCGGTTCCCATGGTGGCTGGAGGGCCATACGTTGCACCTTCCATAGGCACTAGCGCCAAGAGTTCCCTCTAGTAAGCATTGCAGGAAACCATATGCTTTTGTATACGTTAGTAGCATAACATGGCAGCATATTTCACTTTGTAATTTTTTAAAGGGTTTCGTTAAAGCCAGTGAAAGAACTGAGCCAGTGACTTGAAATTTGTACTTATAATAGAGTATGATTTAATCGACGTCTATGAACCTCTTTGGGAAGATCAAGCAATTGTTGCTACATGAATTGCTGGTGATAACTCATTGCTGTTGTCTTTTTCTGTGCAGGCAAGGAGAAGCTGGCTACAATGCCCTCTGGTGGTGGTGCAGCTGCTGCTGCGGCGCCCGCACCTGCGGCCGCTGCTGGTGGTGGTGGTGCAGCAGCTCCAAAGGGTGAGTGCCTCATGCGGTCAAACGTACCTGATTGGTGTAGTTGTAATAGCTGCTGGCGAAAAGTCAGGTACATAGCTTGTTTAGCAGACCAGCTCCCTCTCATTT